GGTGTGTGTGTCACAGGTGGAGCTTCTGCTTTCCTTTTGTCAGGACCTTGCTGGGTCCACTTGCACGACCTCCAACTACCAGCTCAGGTAATTATATATTTTGGAAGTAATACCTTTTCTTTTGTATTAATTTAATAAAAAAAATAATGATCAGTTTAATGCATCCTTGCTGAATAAAATAAGTAAATTCTTAAAGAAACTGCAGTGTACCTTCTTTTTTTGAAAGTTCTCAACAAACACTCTATGGTAAATACTGGTATTATGGTTTTTTAAAGTTGTCAACGCATGTATGTTTAGTCAGGTGTGCTCTGAGGTGGTGTTGAAGACTCTAGAACTCATGAGCCACCTCAAGCAGCAGATGCCAGACATGGAGACGTCCTTCTACAGGATCCTACAGGTTCAAGACTTATGCTGCCCTTCCTCAGAGTTTCTGATCACTCTGTATTAGATTTATGACGCTTCCTTATACATGGCCTCTTTTCTGTTGCATGCAGGATCAGCGCACGGTGACGCCTCTCTCATTAGCTCTGACCTCGAACTGCAGAGAGCATGTGCAGATAGCGCTTCGCATACTTTTTGAAGCGGCCCCCCTCCCCGACTTCCCCTCTGTCATGTGAGTCAACAGAATACTTCGCCACAGTGTGAACTACTTTTCTAAAGTGTCAAAATATACAAACTGTTTGTTGTTTCAACCCTGATTCTTTCTTCTGCTGAACACAAAGGAAGATATTTTAAAGAATGTCAGTAACCAGATGAAATAGGAAACTTTTGCAACATTGTCTAATACTGTTACTTATGATCAATTTAATGCATCCTTCCTGAATAAAACTATTTTTAATTTCTTCAATCTTTCATTTCTTTAAGTCTAGGGGACAGTATTGCTGCGAATAATGCATATCGTCAGAGGGACGGCGAGTCGATCCGAAGCAGTTCTGCTTGTGATGATGCGTCCTTCGCAGGGAAGAGTTTTTCCATGATGCATGCTGAACCCTCTGGTTCTGCTTACCACAGTATCGACAGCCTCATCAAGAAGCTTCGGAATGGAGTAGAGGTGAGTGCATGTGTCTGGCACCTGGCAATGAATTAATTGACGTGACCACAATTTCTGCAAATGTTCCATTGTGTCTCATTTTTTTCCAAATAGACAATAGAAACGTCTCAACGTTTCAAAATAGTGGGTGGCATGCTCGAATAATGACCCAAACCACGTCAAAGGCATTTGAATCAAACTCGTGTTTTCTCATGTTGTGGTGTTGTAGTTACAGGAGAAGGTCAAAGATGTTCACATGTCAGAGGTCATTGATGTGTATGAGCAGAAGCTTTCTGCACTTGCGGTAAGTGACCAAGTTATGTAGAATCTTCCGGTGTATATTTAACTTGTGCAGATGTTTGTAATTATTTGTACTTTTATCTATGTAGTGTAAAGAGAGCAGTCTGCAGGATCTTTTGGAGGCCAAAGCACTCGCACTGTCACAAGCTGATCGACTTATTGCCCAATACCGCTGTCAGAGAGCTCAGGCGGAAGCTGAGGTTTCACAAAACATTCTTATTTTTTCTTTTCCCCGTCTACAATGCTAACCACTTTTTGTCTACTTTTTTTTTTGTTGTCTTTTTTCAATTATGCATGCTTCTTGAGTTGCATATATGAGCACTTTTATTTTTAACACATTTAAAACATATATATTTGACTGCATGAGCACATTTATTTTCTGTCTTATTCTCTTGTTTATTGCTATTTGGCTCTTTTCAGTTTTCATTTCTTTCAATGTTTTTCCCCATTCCAGGCACGTAAATTAGCCTCTCTACTGAAAGACACAGAGCGGAGGAAAGAGGATCTGCAGACGGAGTTGAATGATCAGCTGTTGGAGGTGGAGAGGCTGAAATCGGACAGCCAGCAGCTCCTGGAACACAACGGGCGTTTGCAGGCAGTGGCTGACCAGCATCAGGAGCTGAAGGGCACATACAACCAGCTGCTCAGTAGGTCAGTGTCCCTCTCTCACACACACTCTGAGACAATTTCTTAGCCATTCAGGAATGGATCCATCAAGTGATTTATTTATTTATTTTTATTTTTTTTAAGATAAGCAAACTCTTTATTCTCCTCTTCCCTTTTTTTTAGGTATGACAAGGGTGAAGGGAAGCTGAAGGAACTGCAGGTTGCACATATCTCTCTTACCCAGCAGGCCGAGGGGTTGAAAAAGATCAACGAGGGATTAAAACTCCAACAGGAGAGGTCAGTGTTTCAAACGGTGGTTTGAATGTTAGGGATTTTTCAAGGGTGGCATAAAGCATAACCCAATTCTAATAATAATCATAATCTTAAAAGTTATATTATTATTATTAATAATAAAAAGGTTTGATTAAATATTGTTTTATTATTAAAGTTAGACTATGCTTCATGCCACGCTTAAATTAGTACAATTATTGTATTATGATTATTACATAATCCAACTCAAATAATAATAAATATTATGGTTGTTGTTGTTATTATTATTATTATTATTATTATTAGTAGTAGTAGTAGTAGTAGTGGTATTTTCCACTGAAGCCGTGATATTTGGAATGCCACACATGAATTAGACATTAATATAACAGTAAAAAATAATAATCATAATTTATTATTTTATTAATAACAATAAGTGTGTATATATATATATATATATATATATATATATATATATAATCGTAATACTTTATTATTTATATATGTATATATTGTTATAACAATATATAAAAAAAAATGTATTGGCATTAGTTTACCAACCCGGAATATATCAACATTTCTATTAATAGTAATGTAAGTGTATTAATATAACAAGAATAATTAAAAAACTTTATTGCTACACCCACAATAATAATTAACTTGATAAAACTAAACTTGACTGTTAATAGAAAATGAATACCTTGAAAATAATTTTCAAATATTTGGTCTTCTGTCTGCTCAGGACTCTTGCAGAGATGGCAGAAAAAGAACAGCAGATAAAGGGTCTAAAGTCAGATGTGCAGGAGAAAGACAGAAATATAACAGGTGAGAAAAAAAGCTGGAGGGTTTAATGTGCTTTGTGCTGTTTCCGTCATACACACTTGTATACAATTATGTGTCTTGCTGTGCTGTATTAGGTCTTCAGAATAAGCTGAAAAGACAAGAAGAGCAGATCCATGAGATGGAGGAGAATATTTCCATTCTCAGGAAAGAGCTTAATAAGACAGAGCAAGCCAGGAAGGACAGCAGCATCAAGGTACCGTCAACACTCATTCAAACCTCTCAGTTCATACGGTCTATTAAACCAAACACTCATAATTTAGCTTCAAATATATTACACCTGTTATATAAACAACAGACAGGCCTAGGCTGCATAATAATGATCTAGTGTGTTTTCTGTTGTTGCACTCATTTTCTAGGCTTCCTCTCTGGAACTGCAGAAGTCCCAGCTAGAGGCCAAGGTGGAGAAGATGGAGGAAGATCTGAGCAAACACACACAAATGATCGCCATGATACACAGTCTCAGCAGCGGCAAACTCAAGGACGTCACCGCCAACCTCTCTCTGTGAGATATTCTCATATACACTTCACACGCTTAATGAAGTGAAAATAACTTATTTAATCTCTTTTGTCACATTTAATGTGTACTTTTTTTTTAAATTTGGTCATTAATATGTTAAATGTTTTCATACTTTCATGAGCTTATGTATGCACAAATTGAAGAGAGAACATTATTCTGCTTTCATTTTGGATTAAATTCATTTAAAATTATTTCAGACTGAAATTATTCAGCAAATAATATGTCCAATTTTAAAATGTTAATCCTTGGCCACTAGAGGGCGCCGTACAAGCACAGTTTTAACAGACATGATTTAAACCTTTCCCCACTTTTTGTTTTACAATTTACAAGAATTGTTAATGCTTCAACAACAACAAAATCTTTATTGTTTTATCCAGATCATCATAGAATGTCTATCAGGGGCATTCTAGCCAACTGGACATGTTCCTACAAAATAAAAATCAGATTTCACATTATCAGATAATCAGATTTCACACACACTCTTCCATTTAAGTTATGTTTATTAATTATTAGTTTAAATTTGAATTACTAATTTAGTTTAGAAAATGAGTGTGTAGAAAACAACATAATGTGCAAATAAACCCGAACAAGAGCAGAGTTATACTAATGCATAACTCTGAAAAGAAGGACTGAAATAGTATTTTCTGTGTGTAAAATATTCTACAATAAATTGTTTTATTTACAACTTTGAACAAAAACAAAAAATGACAGTTTATACAGCTCAGAAAATAATAAAACATTATTAATAAAAAAATATTATTTTACACACATTCATGTTTCAGTTTTGCATTTGACTTTGTCAGAACCTGATTTTTTACATTCTTCCATAGTTTCGACTGGTTGTTTGTCAGCCAATCAGATGTGGCCGTATGCCAGCACACTATACCACACATTTGCTCTTTGAGTGATATTCTGACATCTGAGTGTGAATGTTTCCTCAAGAGACATGTGTTAATCTCACTCATCTGTGTGTTTGAACATTCTCTCAGATTCTCACAGTATGTCAGATTTAATGCACTAACTGATAAATCAGTATCAAGTTTCAAGTTTGTTTTATAGATATATAGCACATTTAAAAACAGCAAGCACAGCTGTTTTTAGAAAAAAACAGAAAAAAACACAGGGCATTCATGACAGCAGCTCACAGTGAATTAAAGTCCAGTGAATCACAAACAACAGACTAAAAAAAGTAATGGTTGAACTATTTTCTTAAATGTTCAAGCTGTATTTGGATTAACAAGCTTAGTGTAAAACAATTTCCTAGACTTTAAATATAAGAAGAAACATTTTCCGCCACCTAATTATAATTTTATAGCTGAGGTGTGTCTCAGTTTCAGGCTAAAGGTATGATTTCCTTTATCACTTGATTCGTAACGTGACACAGAGTTTCACATAGTTAAGAGTGACTTCCCAAGCCCTGTTATGGAATGAGGCAAATTAACACATTAGAAATGTTTTTATTTACATCATTACCTTCATAGTCAAATTGATCTTCATTAAATTAAAGAATACTGCCATTTAGATTGTAAAAATACAGGTTTACATGTAAAAGAACAGCAAAAAAACATGATTACCCCTCACAGTCCCTTTTTTAGTGTCTTCATTTATCAGCATGTGGATAGACAGCTTAAAAGTCACATTTTTTGTTGGAATGTTGATGTTGCCATGGCCACAGATTAGCAGCAATTCAAACAATGAAGCAAAACATAAAAAAAAAAATCCAAACTTGCTATAGAAGGACTTACCATGTTGGGTTCGGTTCTTTTAAGAAAGTGGTTTTAGAAGATGGATTAGTGTGGAATCTGCTAAAACCGGTTTCATGTTCATGTCATGGAACTGAGAATGACAAAAATCTGATCTATCCACTTCAATAATGGAAAATATTTAAAAAATGGGGAAGATAGAAGAAGTCCTTCATACAGAAAACATTGTAAAACCCCAAAGCTTGAAGGTCTGTAAGCTGGCAGTGAGTTTAGAAGGACTCGAGTCTGGGGCAGCGACTGCTTCAATGATGATTCAGACTCAAACCAAAGACAAAACTTCAGAAGCATGTTTTGGGTCTTGTTGCGCTCACTTGTTTCTCCTGGCATGTTTTTGCCTTCAACAGTCTTCTTATTTATCTTCAGGCTTTTACTCGTCCTCATTTAAATGAAATCCTGAATAATAAATAAGAATACGCAAGATACGGTGCTGGAATTTACTGATCTCCAAAGCGATCTGGATGGACTTGATGAGATGTCACGTTTCTGGCTATTTATTACCATTTTCATCTCCCGTTTTCCCTCCATTCAAGTGTTTCAATTCTTCAGTTAATGGTTGTTGTTTCTGTGTGAAGACACATGGCAGCTCAGGTTTAAGTTAGCATATTGAAGTAAAACACAGTTCTGCGTTTAATTTGAATGACATGAAAACTGTGGGTATGGTAATGACTCTTTTGAGCTCTTTTGCATTTTTTTTGTTGAATTTCAAATGTAGCCTATAAATGAAATAAAATAACTCACATTTTTTGATTTCTGTTTGTTATTCAAAACAAAAATGGCAATGGCAATGACAATGGCAATGGCAATGACAATGGCTGCTATAATGCCGATAATGTGGGCAGTTTCCAAACCTGTATGGAAAGAAAAGAGGGTTAAATCTCTTTGACTGATACTTCAAGTGCTATGACCCTGTTCAACACATTTTTATATGGTTTATAGTTATTTATTTGGTGTTTAATTGGTTTACATAAACAGAACCTTAAGCTATAGTAGAAATGTTGAAATACCTCTTGGTGAAACTGAAGCTTGCATAATGTATCTGTCCTCGTCTGTCTTACTCTCACATGTGTAAGTTCCCAAATGCTCTTCATTAAGAGGAGAGAGTGTAACTGTTCCATTTTTTGGATTAAAGGTAACCTTGTCCCGCCACTGTTCAGAGATGTATTTCATAGAGGTTTTGCTGTCATATGTCAGGATGTTGGTGGAAAAATTCAAGATGAGAGTGTAGTCGACATCCTTAGGGACAGGACAATTGAAAATGAACTCATTCTCTTTGAGTTCTGAAACTTCTAAACAATAAACAAACAAAAAATGTATAAAATGTCAACATTAATTATATAAAACACAGTTTCACACCTACCTGAGAGCTATAAAATCATAAAATATTATTTTATTGAATAGAACAAGCTATGTGCTGTGTACTCCAAAATTTAAAATATATAAGTTTTCTCTTCCAAAACATCAGAGCAAAAACATTAATGACCCATCCTGCACTATTTATTACTCACCTAATCTTATATATTCTATATCTCCAGAATCTTTAAATTTACCTTGCTTTTCCAGAGTAGCTGTCTTTGTCCTGTCCTTACTGGTTATGGAGCAGGTGTATTTGTAGGTACCACTGTTGTCACCCACTTTAAGCTCACTTGTCACTATAAACAGTTTTTCTTCTGTTTCCTGGAAAGTATCCACTGGCTCATTCCCTGACGACCACGAGACTTGTGGTTTTGGATAAACTCCACTGGTCTTGCAGGTGACGGTATCATCTTTTAAAGTGATATCCACCGATTTAACTGGAGCTAAACAAAACAAAAATAGTAACAGTATTATTTTCTATGTTCACCATATACCGTATAGCGATTTAGACTCATAGGAAAGAAAGATGACTAGACGTTCTTTAAATAGTCATTTTGAACAAGTCTTTATTTAAAAGTTTCAGAAGTTCTTCCTCTCACCTTCTACAGACACAGACACAAACTTCTCATCATTTGTTTTTTCATTGGCAGTGTAGCACCTGTATCGGCCTTCATCCTGGACCCTGATGTTTTTTAGTAAGAGTGATACATTTCCATTTTTGATTTCAGATTCCGGTAAAAGGGATGTTCTTCCCTTGTAGTCCTCGGACTGATGGCCCAACTGGTCTTTATTGTAATAGAATGAATGCACTGGTTTATTATCTTTGTACCAGTGGATGATATCCAGGAGGATGGTGGATGTGCAAGGTAACAAACATTCCGCAGAGTACATACAAGTGACATGGATGTCTGTAGAAACAAACACAAACATACCGTCATAAGACTATACAGGTGTATTCAACCACTGTCAAGTGTGTTGTAAGTCATTTTATGTCCATAAAATCATGAATAAAAGAACTTCAATAAGGTCGAGTTATGTTGAAATAGCAATTGTGAAATGCCTTTGGGTTCAATAGAACAGCTGTTTCCAATAAGTCTGCAATCATTTACTTGTGTACCAAAGTTCAAATCTGAGTAAACCTGTTCTGTTGCGTTTACTTTCAGATGAAAGTGGTTAAAATAGTTTTTTTATGAATGATCATGAGATTAGTATAATTAAGAAAAAAATGTTTTTAATCTAAAATGTAGGTTTTACAGTACAGCTGAGATCGATAACAATGATTTCTGTAAGCAATAAAACAATCTTCATGTCAATCTTCAATCTGACATTTACATGATACCAAGTTAAATAAACATCGATACAATTAAAGTTACTTTAATTGAATTACAGAGGTTCTTGTGTGACTGTACAAGGTTGAGTCAGTGAGATGAGACACTTTTGAGGCTGTGTTGATCTGTATATATATCAGTCATGAAAATAAATGTCATTTTATATATTTTAGTTTCTTACCTCCTAATGTTACAGGCAGAATCCACAGCAAGATCACCAGCTTCATAATCACATAAAATTAAACTATTTGTGTGTCGTCGACGGATTTCACATAGTTAACATAACCAGTATCTGTTCTGAGAGTAACTAGAATTCCTACTAACAAAACAAAACAAAACGCATGATAATCTCTGACCTCTGTACCAGAGATGCCAGCCCGAACCCCGCCCATATTTAAAAAAAAAAAAAAAAAAAAAAAAATTATTGAAGGCAACATTGGGTACAATCGTGAAAAACCATCAATATACAATAAAACATTTATACAGACAATACCATACCAGAGACAAAGAATTAAAAACAAACAAAAGAAGAACAAAAAAAAAAACACATACTAAATAAAAATGGAAAAATAAGAATATTAAGAGGAATTGGGGAATAGGTTATAATATTGACACAAAAGTTTTCCATTCTTCTTGTTCTTTACAAGCTTATGTGATTTAAGAAACATATTAAGTTCCAAAATATAATGTATAAAACATAAGGAAGACTTATTAAATTTCTGCTTGTCTATAAAGAACTTAGCATATAAGATTAATACAAACTCCAGGGTGCCATCTTGTGGGAAGCAAAAGTAACAGATAATATCTTTCATGAGTGAGTTATATTTCGAGATGAGTACCCAAAGAAAGTGAGTAAATCTTCCCAAAACCTTTTGGTCCGCCCACAACATTTTTTTTTTGGAAGAATATGAGTATGACGATGACGAAGTCAATGCAAAGTACAGATACTGGTCAAATGTTACTCCGTTACAAATAAAAGTTGTAAAGACCAATTTTTATAAGTAAAATTACAGATAGCCTACTCGTTTTTAAAATGACTCTGCCTGCCTTCCTACCCTCATATCAATATCAAATTTAGTTCTAGAATAAATTGGATTGACGTCATTTTTTTTTACTGTCTAACTCTGATTAGGCTATTGCTTAGAAATAAAATATACAAAGCTGTTAAGATGTAGACTGATGATCAATATTACAAATATATGAGCATTTCACATAAAAGTTGATATTCAAAGGTAGCCTTAACTTTTGGCCTTCTCGCCAACATTGTTTGGTTGTGCTTTGACTGCGATATTGGATCTTTCTTTTACTGTCTACTGTCTAATTGTCTACTGCCGATACACAATTTAGATTTTTAACTAGTCAACTTTAAAAAAAAAACGTAACTACAGAACTATTCAAGTAACTTTCTTTTTATTAACAATCTGGTTAAAACAAGTTAGGCCTACTCCAAGTGCACCACAGTGATCTACAACACGGTGTGAATGTAAAACAAATTACGTATTTGTTATTTGTTAAATACCTTTGCATAAAATATGCATGAAATATGAAGGCAAATGTTGTACAAACATCTTAAACATATATATATAGGCTACACACACTCAGAAATAATATAAAATAAAAATGCTAAATATTTCTTACCCAAAAAGTAATAAAAGGCTAAATAACACCATAGGCTATTATTAACAGCAAATGCTTTTTAAAAACATGTCGAAAAATCATGTTGAAATAAGGCTTAGGCTAGTAGTTCATTACAGCTTCTTGCAATCCATTGCATTTTTTAACATGTGCATTCACCTCTGCCCGGCCGACACTATGTTGCTGTGGGATAATGATTCATTACAGATTAGACTGTAAAAAGTTAGACTTTGTATCTTTAAAAATACATTCAATATTTACTGTATTTAGAAATCAGTTTCATTTGTGAGATTACCATGGTCAACATAGTAGCATACGCAATTCAAAACGTTTTTTGAGATAAGCACACATAAAAACATGTGTACAATTAGTAAAAATAAAATAGAAGTTCAATACTGGATAGTTTTTATGTCATTAATAGGCTGTATCATTACCAGGCCTACTGTATTTAGACTTTTCCCAAACAACAACAACAACAACAACAACAACAGCCTTAGCCTGCCCTGTTTCAACCTATACTTAAACTTTACAATAAATAGAATGGACGGTTAACTCCAATATAGTAGCGTAGCCTACACTTACTTTATAGACACAACAAAGCCACTTTCTGAATTTAAAATGGTTTTAGAGATTGCTGCGTGCCATATAGGCGACTGTAAACTAAATAAATAAAATAAATAAAATGTTCCTCATCATGTATTCTCATGCAGTTCTGTTGGCGATCTTTCCGTTAAGCAGGGATCCTCAGATGGAGCTCCACTGTTCGCATCTGTCTCTGTAAAGAAAAGAGTGATGATCTGTGAATGTGATGCAGTGAGGAGTATATTTATTAACTGTTACCACAAACACACCTCTGATTGGTTGCATCTCTGCAGCCTCTACGTTGGTTTGACTTGATTTTGAACATCCAACTGGTTTGGGGGAAGATATCATTATTGGACAAAGAATTGAAGTAGTCTATTGATATTTTAAATAAATATTTTTGAGATTCTGGTAATGCATACCTTTACATTTTATAGTCACTATTGCTGCGACTGCAGAGACTGCAAGGCTTGTGATGACAGTAGCGGGAATCCACCACCGGATGGAGCTCTCGGGCTGTCTTCTAGCTGAAACTTAGTCAACGAAAAAAAAAACGTTCTTAGTTAAATATTTAAATCAAACATAAGTGCTGATTATTTTGTCTTCAAGAAAGATCAATGAAATTTTAACATCAAATCTCTGTTTAGCTGAAAACAATAATCCACAAAAAGGATGTGAGTTCAAGAGAGTGGCCACCATTGCGGTAAAATCATTGTTTACATATTCGAGTAGCTTAGTTTGACTTCTTATGCAGTATATGTTTTAAAATGTATGTTTTAATATGTAGGATAAATAATTATTTTTTTAAACTATGATCATATTGGTTTATTTTCTTTTACAGATGGAGGCCTATCAGCATCACAATTAACTAAACGTGTGTGGTGAATTTTATCATTTATGAAAACAACAACAACAAAACAATTTCTGACCATTTCGAAAATGTAGGGTTAGGGTCCTCGTCAAAATGTTTAGAACAAAAGATGTTTTCATTTGAATTTTGTTTTAATTGAAGTAATGGTTCTTTTATCTTTTATATCACTTTTCATTCTGTTTTGTAATGTCTTTTAACAGATAATTAAGCCACTTCCTTACTGACATCATCAAGCAGGAAGTGACATCACGAGCATTTGTAAGTACATTCACAAGCCTTTGATTAATTTTCTGTGTGGTGTCAGTTGGTTTGTCTCACTCTAGAAATATTAAGAATACTATCAAAATGTTAAAAGTTAAACAAGGTGAAACTCTAATGTAAACTTGCTCACAGTCACCCACTGAGCAGTGACAATGTTCATCTTTTTATTTTCATCATTTCATTTTCAATAATCGAGTTATGATTAACAAAGTGTAGGCACCCAAGCTTGACAGGTGAAAGTCAGATATACTCTAATAAAAAAAAATCATTTTCTGAAATTGCAACATTTCTTAAGGAACAGAGCTTAAAGGTGACTTAATACAACATGAGCAAGCCTTTTATAAAAGAGCAACAATTTCATTATTTGTATGAATTTGTATGAAATGTCAAATGGTTACAAATTATGAGAGTGTGTTGGATTTCAGAGTAAGAAATATGGTGTTATTTGTGAAAATAAATTATTAAAATGAGAAGCATAGAGTGAGATCTCACCAGTCGACTCTATGATGTTGACTCTAATACGGACCTCATGCTTGGTCCGGAGAGCAGAGAGGATGCAGGTGTAGAGCCCAGCGTCCTCCAGTCTCAGCGGGATGAGTAACTGCAGTGACCCGTCCCCACCCTGAGCCCTGGGGGTCACCAGTCGCACCCTCTCCTTCCAAACGCTGGAGCTCAGCTGTGTGAGGCTGTCATAGGTGTAGATGGTTGAGGACTCGTGTCCTTTGGTGAAGGACCATGTCAGTGTGAAGTTCTGCAAGTTCCATGGAGCCGTGCAAGATATTTTTAAGTCCTGACCTTCGATGCTAGATATTTCTGTTTAATTGGAAATTGGTTATTATTCTAACTTGGTGCATTTTAAGATGTGGGAGATACACTATCTCTTATTTGGATGTAATTGTTTGGTCGACTATGGAAATATTTGGTGATGCAATTTCACGTAATAATAATAATGATGATGAAATGCCGTGCAACATGTCCAGGCATTTATGAATTTAGTCTGAGATCGAACCTTTCTCCTGCAGTGATGTCCTCCATGTCTCAGACCTGTAGAATGATTGGACGAGGCAGATGTAGGTCAGATCTTCCAGCTTCCTGATCTTGCTCTCCACCGAGTACCGGCCTTGTTTGTCGGCCGTTTTGCGTGCGAAGGTTTGGAGGGCGTCAGGCTGAACGGCTGGCTCTGTGTACAAGGTTACACGGGGAGCTGGGTAGACGTCTCGGGTGGAGCATATGACTTCCTCGAAACCACTGAGACGTGTCGTCTCGAGGCTCACTGAGTGGATAGGGGCTGGAATGACAGATATTTGATGTTGTTGTTTATGGTGTAGTTATCATTTTTAAGTCTCGTATGATTGCTGTGGCATAAATTAGGAACATTTTAATGTTATTTTTTATTTCTGATTACCTTTTTTGAAGTCCCCCTGTAGTGAAAATCCAGAAACCAGAAACACTTCCTGTTTCAGTTTGTAACTGTTTTCTTTATTTCACATGTAAAGAAATCATCTTAAAGATGTTTGTTTAACTTTTTGATTCAGTTTTAAATGTTCTGTTGGTTGTATTTTATCCTAGCTTTTATGTAGTGTTAAAAAACTGAAACAGGAAGTGCTTCTGGACCAGTGTTGTTTACATCTTGTGAAATGGTCTATATATAAAGTAACCTCTTGTGGTTAAAAGTGCCTTGGTGATAAAAAAGTAAAAATGCCCTTTTGTCCCCTATTCAAGAAAGGTGCCATTTTCAAATTGTCACAGTTGGGTGATTGTAAAATAATTGTATTTATTATTTTATTTATGATAGCAAAACTCTTGAACATAAACTTGTGATAGCCCACCTTCTACCTTGACAATGATGAATTGCTCACTGGTTTTTCGACTGCTGGTGACAAGACACCTGTACTTCCCCCTGTCCCGTGGGCCGCTCTTCTGGATATGAACAGATGCATTACCAGAGGAAATCACTTCAGTGAATAGTGACGTCCTGTTGTTGTAGTGTTGATCAGCAGGCTGCTCTAACAGACCGCTCCCCTGTTTATAACTGTGGATCATGACATTCTGTCTGAACCAGTATATGATCTCATCTCCAACTGCTTCAAAGACACATGGTAGGACACAATCTTCCGAGAACATGCAGGTTACCTGGACATCTAGAGTTGTGGCGAAGGGGAAAATGACAGGTTTTACACTAATTACTGTAAAAGAAAGTGATTTCTTATAAGGAAGTCAAGATATGAAATACTTCAGTCACTCTGAAAGGATAAGTTATACTCTATATAATACGGATCATATACCTAATTATCATATTCATGGGTCTGTTCTTGTTTCCTGAGTCGCTCTGAGTGCATTTTGAGATCTACAAACTGACCTGAAAATATTTAGGTCGTAGTTCTGGAAAGCTGGTTTTCCAAGTGACCGATAAACATCAGACAATTAATCAGGCCAATGTTTTGGTTGTCAGACAGTTTTCTAGGACGTGCTGCTTGGTTCGATTTTTGCAAAAATGTCTGCTCTTACTCTTTTCGAGTCATTTAAATGTTGTTTTTACAAAATATAACAAATGGTCACGGATGAAAAATGCTGTGCTGAAAAGACGCTGTGCTCAATTTCTTTTAGCTCAGCACATTGATTCTTGTGGTCATATTTTAAAGCATGTAATGACTTCATGGTGTGTCTGAGACGATGAATTGTTCAATTAAACCAGGGATTCTTATGAAAAATGTTCTTGAGAAGCTGCAAGTGAGTCTTGTAGTAATAGGAATATTACCTGGAGTTTTCGCAGATGTATCAGCAATAATCCACAACAATAGCAAACAAGTCCAAGAATGTGCTGCTGCCATCGCTCTCATTTTTAAGGCTTAAACTAAATGAATGCACTCTTCATCACCTGTATATAAACAATAAATCATTATTAACCAGATAACTATTACTTCCTGGTGGCATATCAGAAGGATTGGAATTTTTAATAAATTTATCTGATGTAGCCAAATGTTTAACTCAGAGAACACCAGCATAAGTTCAGAGTTTTGTGTGATATTTGAAGAAGTTTATATATAATGAGTTTGACGTTACCCTTTTTTCAATGACATTTAGCATTAAGTTTTTATTTTGTGTGAAATCTGTCGATTACATTCTTTCTTTTGTGCAGATCATTGATTACTAATGATAACAGCGCATTTGAAGACAGAAATTTGCCATATACTAAGAAATTTCATTCTACGAAACAACTCACACACCTCTGTATAAGGAGCACACAAACCAGAAGATATAATTATTCACTCTACAAAGACACTTAAACAAATCTCCAAAGCATATAGTAGATGATAATAAAACTGATTCTCATTATTAGTTAATTAAAAGTAATTATTCTCTTTTAGGCTTATTATGTGTTGTGGTTATGATTGAAAAGGCAGACTCACGTGTGTGTGTGTGTTTTGATTGTGGATGGAAGTCTCTTCTCTGAAGGTGAACTAGACTAGACTGACTTGTTTATTTTAGGAACACACACGTATCACCATAGGCCTGACACTTTAGGGCTGTTACATGAATGGGAGGAGTTTTAGATTAAGTTTATTTGTATTATTTTGTATGTATAATTTCTGTTGGATCAATTTAGGCTTTCAAACTTTAATATATGCAACATTTATTTTAAGTTAGTTAACCTAAGTTCGTAATTAGGTTCATTTTAGTTAGTAAAAACCTGAACCCAAACTTTCAAACGGTAGTGTACATCTTATGAAACTTTCACAATATTTAATGATTATAACGTGATTTCACTTGTTGGGCGCTACAGGTAAATAGAGTAAAATTAACAATATTCTAATGAAATATGTGAACACTCATTATTGCAATATTTGATGTTTTGTAAGTTACCTCCAAAACATGCTAATGTAAAAAATAGGCATCATATACAGTACATTATACATTGGGCTCCACAAATATTTATTGGTAGCCCATATGGGTTGGTAATCTTCCAATATTTGCACAAAAAAGTAAAAACATTGCTGGGTGCAATGAGACTAACATCGTGAGACATACTCATTCGTAAGGGTCGATCGTCTTTTTTATTACAGGAAGTGATTTCTCTCTTTTTTCTTCGCTAAGCGCACATCCCTCATGTGATATGGTTAGCTAACCAGTCAAAGTCAATGCAGATACAGTATCTGTGATGATGTCTCCGGTGCGTAATCCACCAGATTAGGCAATGCACTGGGATTACTGGACACAGGGAGTCCACAGGGACATTGGTTTATGATTTTTTTTCTCTTTGTATCTGTCCATCATATGATCTTGCACTCTCTCCCATCCCCCTCTCTCTATGCTTCTGTAATGTAATTGATTGTGTAAATGTGATTTGATTGGTTAGCCCCTGAGCTTTTTATAATAATAACTAATGATGGAATGTGCTTGAAACTAGAGCATCAGGTGATGCCAGAGCGCAGTTCTACAAAACAGAGCAACACAGATCCAATGTTTTAACCAGGAATACCACCTTCAAAAGTTAATTTGCTGTGATATTTATTCTTAGGTGTCTAATCTGACGATTTGAAGATCTTTTCTGGATTACATTAAAAGTGGACGAGGACAGGATTACATCAATTTACGTCTTTGCAACTTGTCACTCTGATGAGAAAATCCTTTAATTATCTTTGATTTGTGCATTGTTTGGTTTCCACCTCTCAGGATCAGTGTATGAAGGGCATGAGTGGACAGGTATGAGATGCTTATCTTCAACAGAGACAGAACAAAGCAATAACGCCTGGCACGAGGAAATCCCGATTAGAGATGGTCCCAGCCCACTGTGTAGGTTAAGGGTAGATCCACCAGCTAGATAAGAGGATTTGATAGGAATTAATGCCAGTCTTTTTATTACCGTTAAGAATACATTCCCATTGATTTATGTTTGGGTGACAAAGCACCACCGAGTCAATCAGCTGAAGTATGCGGAATAGATGCTGACGATCCAACAAGCTAGTTTCACGTTTACATTTATTCTGGGAGACGTGTGAACATCTTGAGAGGTCATCAGGACTACCGTACCGTTTCCCAGCGCCCTCTCAGTTGAGGTTTGCTGGGGATGGCCAGGACTCAGGAACCGTCCTGCCTTGGCTCCGTCACCGTGGAAGATTTCTGGACCCTTGCTACAGGACCAAGAGCCCTAGAAGAAAAAGAACAAGTATTCCATCATCGTATTTGGCCATGAAGTTATTCCTGCTGACCTTCAGGCTGTTGTGCCTTGCTTGTCTCTGGCCCGTCACCCTGCTCAACAACCCCTACCCTAACCGGAAGAAAAACAAGGATGTTTACTTGGTTGAGCACGCCAAACAGCGATTCAGAGGGTGAGTCGTGAATATTTAAACTCTTTTGCTTGTTTGGGGTCAGTATGTTACACTTAATTTTAAGGTATGTGTGTTACAGTGTAATTACACATTTAAGTATGAAGTCATAAGTAGGCTATTAACTGTGTATTTGAGCCCGTTCTCATCCCAAGGCGTCATATATGACGCTTTTGCCAAAGTGTAGACATCCAATGTACACGGCACCCTTTAGCGTCAATATGAGACGCAGATATATATGGCGCAAAAGGCGCCTCCTAGTGGTCTTACCCTAACCCTACCCCATACCTAAACCTACCATAACCGAAGCATCTCATTTGACGCTAAAGGGTGCCATCTGCATTGGATGTCTACGCTTTGGCAAAAGTGTCGTATATGATGCCTTGGGATGAGAATGCGTTGTGTATTTACTATATAAGTAAAGTTAGGATTAGGGTGTTATGGTTAGTTGCATGTAATTTAAAATAATTACTATTGCATCATGATGGTAACATGGAACAAGGACACTAAAATAAAATGTTTTATTTTATATATAGTATTACTGAATACTTTGTTCAGAAAGGATGCATTAAACTGATCAAAAGTGACAGGAAAGAAATTACTATTTCTACTAAAAATGCTATTTCAATTCAATCTGGTTCTTTTCGAAAATTCTGTTCCTCAAAAGCTTCTAAAAACAGAATCATGGTTTCCACAAAAATATTAAGCAACACTGTAGCATTTACTACTGTAAAGTTAAAAGGGGGTGTGAGTGAGTGGAGGCAGGGCTATTTTGCATAGTCATGGTTTCACGTATATTAAATAATGCCAAGGTGTGGAGTTACACTCAAGCTGTTTGAAGGCATAAAGAAAAATATTTTACACAGGAAAAACAGTTATCTCATCATGTCAAAGATGAGTTTTAAGAGAGACAATTATTGACTACATGGGGACTTTAATTTTAGTTAAAGTTTTTCAAAAATATGTCTATATTGTTTTTTTATAAGTGTGCATTTATTTGTTTTAGTTGATTTAGTTTTTATTTATTTTAGTTTTTAATTTACAGCCTTGGCATTTATCTGAAATAAAATACATTTCAGTTAATATTTATTTAGTTTGTATTAAGTAGTTTTTTTTTTTTAGTTTTGTTTAACAATAATAACCCTGAATTGAGACAATAGCAGAACGCATAAAAAAGGGTAGAAAAGAGTTATAAAGGATCAGATGCTGATAGTTCCATGGATCATTAAATTTCCTCTTTACTACGTGTCTAAATGAGAAATAAAGTGAGGTTTTAATCCATTGTTGGTGGTTTCTATGTTACCACCGCGTAATGAGTCACATAACCTCAAGAGTGCCAGTATTCTTTCACTCTGTAATTAAAACCATCCTGGTGCCATCATCTGTTTTTTTGGAGAGCAGCCAAAGTTCTGTTTGGCATTAAAATCACGCCTGCAGATTCCCTAAAAAGCCTGTGTTTTTACAGTGTCAGCCAGGTTTTCCAGGTACAGCTTTTGTTAATGCATAATGTGTCATTTCATTGAATAATTATAAAAGCCATTAGAAATAGATTAATAAGAGGTTAATAGGATACATTTTCTAGGGCATTTCCCTCTTAGTCTCTCTCCATCCAAGAGAGTTTTTCAAATTTCGAGGTGAAAAAATGTATAGGATAATTATGTTTCATATTGTTGTAATTTTAATCACAGCGGTGTAGAGCAATCTCGCAGCATGCATTGTGTCATTAGTGCTGCTGTGTTTTTGTAAGGATGATTGCGTAATGAGTCTATCACGTCGTCATTAGTGGTTGTATGCTGTATTCACTTTGAGGTTTAATTTTGTAATTGCTCTTCGGTGTGCAATTAACTTTGCCATGGAATGAGCACAGCGTGATTGACAGTATTTGGGGTTTCAATTACAGCACTCAGATGAAGATGAAGTCTATGTAGGGAAACATTGTACGTGTTTGACTGACCTTCAGTTTCTGCCGGGTTTTTGTTCATGTCTCATCTCTTAAAGGGATAGTTCACTTTGAAATTAATTTTTGGTATGTTTAGCTTAACCTCGAGGGCATCCAAGATGTAGGTGTCTTTGTTTCCGCAGTAGTTTCAATTTTGATATTTTTAGGTCAAACCGTTCTTGTCTGTCAGTCATATAATGGAGGTCTATGGTCACCACCTCAAAGAGCATGCATAGAGAAGTTCAAATTAAACATGATTTAATGACTCATAAATGTAAGTACACATTGATGGCCTAAGACACGAAACGAGCGGTTTGTGGGAGAAAACGAACAGTATTTATATCGTTTTACCTCTTGTAACCACATCTACGTCCAAGAGGTCTGAGAGCATGGGCGCTTCTGTCTGCGGAAGCGCCGGAAGTGATCTCTCGCGCGGTTGCGAAAAAAATTCAACGTTGTCTGTTGCGTTGTATATTGAAATCGCCTTCTATTGCGATTTTCTGTATATCTAATCTAAATAGGTTTAGAATAGATCTTCAAAGGTAACACTTCCAAAATATCTGTGTAAACAATGAGTGACATACACACACGAGAGATCGCTTCCAGCGCTTTCCGGCGCTTGCGCAGACCGAAGCACCCGCGCCCTCAGATCACTTGGACGTGGCTGTGGTTACAAGAGGTAAAAACGAGGTGCTCTTTGAGGTGGTGACCATGGACCATAGACCATAGATTATATGACAGACAAGAACGGTTTGACCTAAAAATATCAAAATTAAAGACGCCTAGAGGTAAGCTAAAACATACCAAAAATTAATTTAAAAGTGAACTATCCCTTTAAGGCTCAGAAAATAGTTTCTTTGGAAGCGCTTCAAATCACAGTTCATTTTCACAACCTGGCTCTCATGCCATTGTAAAACAAGCTGCTCTTTATAAATCATCCCTTTAATGGCTGAGTAATTCTCTTCAAATTACAGATGCTGGAGCACAGAGGCAGATGTTTGATGGTCACATTCTTGGTGGAAATAAAACATCCAACTGTTTTATTTCTCTGTAATGCAAAGGTCCACCTGCTCACAGGGCCCGGGATAATATTCCTGTTATTTTGAAATAACTACTGAAGTGCAATAATGGCTTGTTTTCTTCTGACCCTTTTTCTCATTCTTTCAGCCGGATTGACTACAAATTAAAGCGAAAGGACAGCACCAAGTCCCTCCTCATCAAAACGGAACAGCTGCTAAGGATCGAAGACCAAGACTTTGCCATGAGACCTGGATTTGGAGGTCAGGATGAACTGTTTATTTGCTCCATTTGTTAATCACCATCACAACCCTGAAAATCACAATTAGAGTGTTCTTTTTACTAAATCTGATTAAAAATGGGCTGTACCATTTTGCCGTGTCAGAGGGCAGAACGAGGCGGTGTTGCCATCTCTCTATTCGGGGGAAAGCGGCCAGAGGTAACGTTGACAGAGCGAGTGTGGTCCTAAATTCAAACATGACCCAGATTATGCAAATTAGACAATAGGTGTTGTTGAGGACACAGATGTGCTTTGGAGGACAGTAATCTGGATTACATCCCAGGCCTGTTAAAACAGATGTGCTAATGTTATCATTTTTACACATATTTGAATACAATGCAATTTATGAAATATTATAGCTGCTTAATATTTGAAATTACAATCAAATTTTTTACATGTACTTAAGTATAGGTTAGTCAACAGACCTAAATAAGTGTAGCCTACTTCTTTAAAGCATGACAATAGATTATTAAAACACAGTGATTTAAAATGTACCTTAAAGTAACACTTTAATCTGACAGTGACATTATTACAAAGAGCACTTTTTAATACTGACAAGTGAATTAAGTAATATACTTAATTCACAACTCATCTAATTAACAAGTGTGTTCAACAATTCAGTACAATTAAGCACACTACTTTTTAACAAGGGCCAATAAGGTCTCATCCAAACCTTAAATAGTATTAAAACATATTAAACTATTCTTATAAATGCATACATGTTAACATATTAACTAATACACATGACTAATAGAAATTAAATCAGTGGCAATGTACATGTAAGCATAAATAATTGTATTGCTTCCTTTCAACCAGCAGGGTGGCGCTCTAATCTGCCAGAAGAGATGTTTAGATAAAAGAGTAGTTTATTGGAGTGTAGGCTATCTTTCACATGATTAAAGAAGATCAAGAGGTGGAACCAGACTTTGAATGGCGTCCTTCAGTCAGTAACCACTGCTAATTAATGATGGGACAAATAGGATTAGTAACATTTTGAGCTCCATATGCTCTCTCTGTAGGAGCAAAGGAGGCAGATTCTCCCTAAGTTGATATCAAAGGCATTGCTGTTGTCCTGAACCAATATGCAAATGTATTGTGTCTTCTGCTCGGCAGGATCTGCCATCCCCGTGGGCATTGATGTGCAGGTGGAGAGTATAGACAGCATCTCTGAAGTAAACATGGTAAAAGTGCATATTCTCTTTGTATTTAATAGAGCAATGTTTTGGATCCGTAATGGTTCCTTTAATGAATCTTTTAGTACATATATTGAATAAATATTTGGAACAAAGACATTATGACATAATTTAAATAATAAATACATATAAAACAGTTCTTGAAAGTGATTGCAAAGACTTTAAACATAAAAACTGCATGACTACGCAAAACTAAAAATATATCTTTAACAACACTGTCATGTGAACATCCAAATGTTTAAGCTGCATGAGTTTGATTCACCAGAATAGACCCACTTATAAGACTAATTCATTCGGGAATCGAATTACAAGTTGGGCTGCATGCTTTTAATTCACTAAAAAGAAAACTCGTATGAGTCAATCCATTAATTGAGCTGAACATCATATTGCTTCTGAATAAAAGTTTCTAATAAGATGTATTCTTCGCAAACTTGTTCCATATTTAAAAAATGTATAACATTTTGCCCTGTAGAAAGCAGGCCTTCAGCTTCTCATAAAGGTCTTCTTGGTAAATGTCAAAAAGTTTCATTTGCACCAAAATGCCAGTCACTACCCTGCACTGTTGCTCGTAATAAGTTGTCATGTTTGTCTATAAGGTCAGTAAAATGTAAAGGTCTCTCTCAGGACTTCACGATGACCCTGTACCTGAGGCATTATTGGAAGGATGAACGCTTGGCGTTTCCCTCCAGTAACAATCTGAGCCGCACATTCGATGGTCGGCTGGTGAATAAGATCTGGAAGCCTGATGTCTTTTTCGTCCATTCCAAGCGCTCCTTCATTCATGATACCACCATGGAGAACATAATGCTGAGGGTTTACCCAGACGGCAACATCCTTTACAGCGTCAGGTAGAAGCCAAATCCTCTGCTGATTCATTTCCTTCATATGTAAATGTTGTATTAATGGAATATTCTCTTTGTTGTAGGATCACAGTTACTTCTCTTTGCTCAATGGACTTCAGTAGATTCCCGTTGGACACTCAGAATTGTTCCCTGGAACTGGAGAGCTGTGCGTGTCCACCTAGAAGGAGTCCCACCTTCATTGTTTTTTAGTTAATTGTATTTTACTGGTTGGGATGGGAAAATGTGACCGTCGTGGATCATTTCATTAAAGGAATGTGAAGAATTACCATTTTAAACATTGTAGTTACAGAAAAAGTGCTTGCATTTAAAGTATGTGGAGTAATGCAATGAATGTTGAAATATGCGAAAGTATAGCAAGAGGTCTAAACATTATATATTGGCATGAGACTAGTGTGGCAAAACTAGGATGAGGACAAAGGATAAGACCTGACCAAGAAGAATGAAAACAGGGCAACTGACTAACAACACAATCAGGGAATGAGACAAACACAGGAAACAGGAACTGAACCAAATACAAACCAAAAGTCTAGAAAACAAGAGCACAGACACAGAATACATTACAGCTAGTAATACATTTAAATAGCTATTTAGCTATTGGTTAACTTTATCCAGCCTGGTTTAAACCTGTGGATGAAGTTCATTTTAAGTGCCTACAACTTTTGTCTGTAGAAACCAGCTTTACTCCACATATGCTGTTGCTAGATGTTAATAATTTGAATCTAGAAAATTTCTCTTCATATTCTCCATGTATTTAAGCATGAATTAATCAGACGCACACTCTCTTTTACGCCTTTTTTATCTTACGGCTTCCGCTCTTCTGTCCCGTTCAGATGCATATAATGAGAACGACCTCATGTTGTACTGGAAAAATGGCAATGACTCTCTAAGGACAGATGAAATTGCCCTCTCTCAGTTCTTCATCGAAGAGTTCCACCCTTCACACGGTCTGGCCTTGTACAGCAGCACAGGTAAGAGGCTCTTTTCATTTCTCTCTCTCCTTCTATGTATCCATGCTACGACAAATCTTTGTTCTTGCTAGTAATATATCAGTAGGCCATTAATTACAAGATTTACACGTGTTTGTCAGGCTGGTACAACAGGCTCTACATCAACTTCATCCTCAGAAGGCACATATTCTTCTTCATGCTGCAAACGTATTTTCCCACAATGCTGATGGTGGTGCTGTCCTGGGTGTCTTTTTGGATCGACAGGCGGGCGGTACCGGCCCGTGTTTCACTTGGTGCGTAACACCTGTCAACACACTTGCACTTGGCTAAATGTTTATCTTATAAATGATCTCTCGTCTTGTAGTTTATTCACTCTTGTAGTGTCTGACATTGAGCCTTAGACTGGAGTCCAGTGTGATGAATGTTTTTTTTGCTCATAGTTGCTTAACTAAGTTGCAACGTTTTTCTGAAGATGAAAAGAAACAAGGCCGCACAGTGGCCAAAATCACCTCAACCGATCATAGGCCAATTTGTCAGACATTTTGTTAATTTCTTATGGTTATAGCATACAGTAGGTTTACTGATAATACTGATTTGTGGCTTCTAAAATTTCGAAGGGGCTTGGTTTGATTACAAAATGCAGTTTCCGGTCTTATTTATAACCTACTATGTGTGAATGCAACTGTAGCTCCACCCACCAAATCTCATTGATCCAAAATCCTGCTAAACTTGTTCTGATTAGGTGTGGTTGTTTGGCAGTAATTATAATTATTATTTTTTTTATCTTGTCGTTGGTAATGTAACTCTAGACTAGTCCTAAAATCTTATTGTATAGGAGGAATCAACAAAAATGTTGATCAAGAAAGCACTGCATTTTGTAACAGTAAAAGTTCTGCCATATTAGCAAAATTAGTTGGGCAAAAAAGGTCCATTGTCTATAATTGTCAATAGTGTAGCCTTGAACCCCGTTGCAAAATATGCCTGGGGAAATCTTTTACCGTCACGCAAAATTCGAAAATTCACCTGAACAATGAAATGTAACTGTACCTTAACACTGCATCAGAGTACAGTACAATTTATTTTATTTATTTTTTAACAAAAATGTGTATCTCTGCATGTGTGTTCAATCCAGGAATCACTACAGTGTTGACTATGTCCACCATAATTACGGGAGTGTCAGCGTCCATGCCTCAGGTATCATATGTGAAAGCGGTGGACATCTATTTGTGGACCAGCTTCCTGTTTGTGTTTCTGTCCGTCATCGAGTACGCAGCTGTCAACTACTTCACCACCAAGGAGGAAATGAAGAAACTCAAACAATTAAAGGTCAAAGTTTCCTTAAAGATACTGAGATTCTCAGTTCATTGACTTTGGGTTTGATAAAAATAGATATTTTCAATTTTATGATGCAGTTCATAAACTTCAGTTTTTAAATAAGCCTTGAAAGACTTGACTAGTTGGATCTTGTGCGTTTAATTATTAGGTGATAGCTAAAGTCTGCATGGCTATGGCCCTCCAGAAGGTTTTGAACCCCTTCCTCAAAGGGATAATTCAGCATATTACAGCATAAAAAATGATTAAAGAATCTTATATTTTTTTATCTACATTGTCAAGTCCCGAATGCAAAAATAAATAAATAAAGTCCATGTAATGCATGCGTTATATTTTAAAACTCAAGTCATACAACACATTTGCTGCTCTCAAATCATGGCGCTTGTGGATCAAAATAACATCAAACATCATTGGTATTTGATTATCAAACATTGTCAAACCTGCCATTTTTTTAATCTCTTGAACTTCCATAATATATGAAATATATTGTACTTTAAAAGATCTTACTGTGTAAATTCCAGAAAAAGTGAATTGTTTTTGTCTCCTACAGCTCACAGACTACGATGCATCTCAAGCGATGGCATTCGACGGATGTTTCCATGACCAGGACATAGAGCTCAGCGCATTTCCTCGGCTGTCTGACCTAAACATGGACACGTGCGTGTCCTCACGCAACTCCACAACACCTGACCTCCCTCCAATCCTGGGCACGCGCCTCCGTCGACGGCGTTCCATCCGCCAAAGTGTCAACCATATCATGAACAACAGTTACAAGATAGACTCCTATTCAAGAATATTATTTCCTTTAGCATACTTTCTCTTCAATATCATCTACTGGAGCATATACTCCTGAGCGAGAGAAAACTGGCCTGCTCAGGGTTTACAAGACTGTCGTACACTTGATGTGTGATCACATGCCACAGTGATAGAATTCACACTCGCACACACTCAAAAACTGTATCACAGGGTGAAAAAAGTATAATAAATTATTTATTATGTTAGAATGTCAGATTCCTAACTCTTTCTAAAATATATGAATATAAAAAATATATTTTGCAAAAGCGAAATTAACATATATTCATAACACTACAGTAATTGCTACAAAACAATTATCAAAACATAATACATGTAAATCACATTACTATACTTTGGCTTAACAGAACCCCTTCTGCTACTCAAAGACAATTTGAGACAACAGAACATTTGATTACATCTAACATTTTCAGATTTCTTATGTGAGGATTACAACACTGAGAATGACTATAAAATGTGAAGAGAAAAAAAATAAACAGCTAACTGGACCCACAGTGAAATTTTCAGTCTTTCTTCAACACATATAACAGATTGATACAGATTTTAAGACTGAATTTCAGGAAAAGAACTAGCATTTTTTTAAGTACTATTTAATGCACTGGCATAATCTGAGCTCAAATGATTATTATTATTTTGCAGAAGAGTTGTTTAATACTGGTCTCTGAAAATATATAGGACTTTAAAACCCTTGGCGCTGTAAAAGTGGGGCGTAATATAACGTTTCCGCACTTGGAGATATTTTTATCTTTACTGCATGTAACACTCATTCAGAGAAACTTCTTATGACAGAAGACATTTCTAGATTCTCATCTTGGTATTATATTTTTCAGGCCTGCTAGAAACAGCTGTCAGACATGGAACCTATTTTCCAATTTGGGTTTATAAACCTCTTCCATAAACTACACAGATCTGAGTCGTGTACTGAGTTGACTGTTGATCTCATTGATGACCACATCATCATTCTCTTCCCCTGATATGATCTGACTGTCGTCTACTGGTGAGCCTGTAACATAAAGTTAAAGAGTTAAAAATATTCCTGACTTGTATAAAACACTTTTGTACATTTCTTGCCAGTTTTTTGCAGTAGTGAGCAGAACTGACCGATACCAAGGGATGGCACAGATTCATTGCTGCTCACTGAGCTTCGCGGTGCACTGTTGGTCCCTGAATTAGATGAAAGTGCCGTCAGAATCGAACTTTTCTTATTGGTTTTGATCTGTGTTGCTGTCCGACTCCACTCTGGAGAAGAAAAAGAGGTAAAACGAAGATGCCCGTAAAATAACTAGTTAGTGTAACATGCAGCAAGGTTTTAGTTTGGTAAAAGACATACCTGAATTTTCAGCCAATCGTAACCTGCCACAGCAGAGGTACATTCTCCACTGTTTACGGACATTTTCCTTCAGAGCGCAGTGGAAAACAAAAATAAAAAATCCTGAGAGAGAAAGAGAACAAGAAAAAACAAGACCCCTTTTTCATCAAGCGCTCAAGGTAGTTGCATTATTGCATTGAAAAAATATACTTCTAACTATATTATGTTGACTTCATTTAGAAAACAATTTAATATTGTTTCACACCCTGCAGGGAATTGAAGATGCAAAACAGGTACTGGAAGGCCAACTTGACTGGTCCCCAGGCGAAGAAGGCGAAGCCCCATGTGAGCCCCAGCAGGAAAGTGAGTCCCGCGATGCTACGAAGGTCCTGCAGGCTGCTGCGGTACTGATTGTTGTGGGGGTTTTGCCGCTTAATTCGTCTCAGATGGACCATCACCACCACAAACATGGCCAGGTTCAACACAAATATGATGCAGAAGTATGCCACAACGGCTACGTAGAATGCTATGTCATCCTTCAGCCAACAACTGGAAGAGACAAATATAGAAACATCAATTGCAAAGACATAATGAAGACTGTGCCTTTTAAATTTTAAGTTGAATACTTACAAATCCTCCGTATTTCCGTCAGAAATGTTCCCATCGCTAATGAGGCCATAGAAACCTTTGGGTATCGCAATCACAATAATGACAACAACCAAAGGGAGTCCTGCAAAAACACATCACAGAATTAAATCATCTACAATCATCTACAGCCACAAACCACAAGGCCAATGTAGCAGCTGAACTCACCCCATCCTACCAGAGAAAACTTCAGCATGTATCTGGTCATGTAGTTGTTGAAGACTTTGACGATGGCCAAGTACATATGCAGAGCCTCCAGTCCCATCCAGGTGAAGGAGACCAACAGGAAGTAGTGCAGAAAGAATGCTGTAGAAACGCACAGGCCTACTGCATTTCTATACAAAGCTAACCATGGGTCCAACAAGAATACCAGGTTCAGGAACAGCAGGGCGAAACACAAATGAACCAAGATCTTCGAAGGAATGTCCCGGCGGATTTTGCTGGAATTAAAAGAAAGAATTTGGTAAATAAGAATTTGCTTCTTTTGGGAATGAGAGATGGAAGTACATTTTTGTCACATTTTATAAGATGCGTCATAGTGGTTTTTAAGGGACCAATTGTGATCTCATTTTAGGGCTTACAGAATATTCACTGAGAAGGAGGATATTACTCACTCAAACGCGAGGTAAGTGAGTAGAGTAATTGAGATAAAAATGGCGGACACCCCACATCCGATGAAAGTGATATAGGTAAGGATGAGGGCCTGTAGACGGTCAGTTTGGCCTTGACGGCTAATGTCCTTTGAAAACAAGATTAATGAAAGTATTATATGACAATCCCAGAGATGTGTAATGCATACCTAATAGAAGGCTCAAAATATAACTTATAACTCTCGATTTTATTATAATCATATTAATTTGAGCCATTATAAACTTCTGAAGAGGATGGATGTTGACATTTCTGGGAACAATCCCACACACTGACATACTTACCAGCAGCACAGCAAAGCTGGTCAGGTGATTGCAGCTACAGATGGTTTCGTTCTCGGTACTGCTGTTCTTGACATAGCAGCCGTCGGGATTCCAGCCTCCTGAACCCCCTAGAACATCCAAAACACAACAAAGAAACAAAGAAATTAGACGGATCACATTTCATCAGGCCTAATAACAATTTCTCTGGATTTTTGTGAGGTGTGCAATCTCACCGTTTTTGTCAAAGTCCCAGAAAACACAGGAAGCTGTATAATTCCCCTGTGGGAGAGAAGTTAAGAGATAGATCATTCGGTTTTCATGATCTGGCAGAGATATTTGATGTACAGTTTATTTGTGAGCACACACACACCGCAACGGGTTGCTTATTCCTCAGAGTAAACTCGACATCTTCCCTCAGGTTTTTGATTGACAGGTTAGCCAGACTAGAGCCCAGAATGTGGCTGTTCAGAATCTGTTGAGTCATGTTTTTATCCTGTCGATAAATGAAAATCCAAAGAATTAACTGAAGAAAAGTGGCAGAATGGTCAGGGTTGGGTGTTTTTTTAAGGTGATTTTGTATCCTTTATGAAGCTTAAATGCATGTTAATTGAATAGAAAAAAAAAGTTTATTATATGAAAATAAATCAACCCAGTTTTACCTGAAAAAAAGTGCTTTTCTGAAAGAAGGTGAACTGGACTCTGGAGGCTATCTTCTTTTGTTCTGAAGAGAGGTTCTCTGTCAGGGATGCAGGGAGTGTTATTTTGCCGAGTGAGGAGGAACTTTCTACTGCTCTGACTTTTCTTTGAAATCCTTTAGTGACCTGTATAACCAGACATTTTGAGTCATTGCACTTCCAAAAACATCCCAACTGTTAATGAATTTCTTTAGACTTCAGTTGTCATTACCTGTGGGTTCAAGGGATCTACGATTGAGAATGACGTTGCCCCAAAGTTGGTGCCATCAGCTTTGGTCACAGTCAAAGCGAGTGAATCAAATACAATGTTCTCAGTCTGCTCCCGAATCACAAGTTTTAAAGCCAAATTATCCACAGCTTTGATTAATCTACAAAACACAATATCATATTTACATCCAATATTTCAAGTTTGACAGCATCAGACTGTTTTGAATGCTTGTGTTACACATGTATCTCACCGATTAGAAGAGGCACCAAGAGTATCTGCAGAGCTGTTTAGAAAGTTATTGATGACGGACAGCACTGTTTGGCCCAGATCCAGACTAATATTCGGTGCAGAAAGAAGATTCTCTAGCTGGTTTACCAACTGATTCACCTCAGTTGAATTTAGAGATGCCACATTCTGTGTTTTATTCAGAAGATCGCTAGCCACTGAGTCTGAGCTTTTAGTTGTTGCTTCTGAAAAATGAACAAATCAAATGAGTTGTTGTTATGGATACACATAGTAGTGGCCTTAAAACAAATTTGGACACTTTTAGATGCTTAAATCACACTGCCTGCATTTCATTGCATTGGATACAAAATATCAAGTGTCATCTGCAAACTAAAGATGGCTAAAGCCTTTTTTGTTATAGTTAAAGTAAATGCTACTTGCGTAGATATTTCATAATGCAATAGGATCCAATGCTGTTTAGACCCCACTGATTTTCATTATATAAACAATAAAAAACACTGAGACACAAGACATAGTTTAAATTAAAGTTATATTTTTTTGTGGCCCATAGAAGAAAAAATAACAATAATACAGGTTTGGAACAAGGTAAGTACGAGATGACTAAATTATTCATTTTTGGTTTAGCTATCCCTTTTAAGAGTGACCTAAGTGTCTCAGTACTTTTTGATGCTACTGTTATGTATGCATGAACCTAGAAGAAACACTTATATTTGGAATGTCAAGAAGCTATAGTTAGTTTTGGAATGTTGAGTCAAACCTGTAGTGGCCGCCATGGGAATGGAGGGTGTTGTGGCCACAGCTGGAACTGGTCTTGTGGTGACTTCAGTTGTATTAGTTGAAGGAATAATTAGAGCTGTTGTTGTGGAAGTGGAGCTGTTCTGAGAAGAGCTTGGAAGTATGCCTAACGGAGGAGTTGTGGAAACTGCACTGTTATTGGTAGTAATAAATGTAGTATTTGTTGTTAGGTTGTTTAGAATACTAATTGGATTGAATGTTGTAGTTGCATTACTGATTGTATTATCAGTCAAGGCTTTTTCTGCTGTGCCATTTGACTGTGTTGTGTTAAGGAGACTAACTGTTGTGACAGACTCTGAAGTGGAGTCAGTTGGCCCTCTGGTAATATTTTCTGTTGTTGGAAAGGTTGTTGTATCTATCTGTGTTGTGTTTGTGATGTCAAATTGTGTTGTATTAACTGCAGGGCTTGCTGTTGTGTTAAATTCTGATGTGTTATTGGAGGTATCTGTTGTGTTGATGCTACGAGTGACATCCGTCCCATTGAAGTTGGTAACATTCACTGGAATATCTGTTGTGTTAAACGAGGTTGTGTTTATTGGAAAGGCTGTTGTATTTGATTGTGTTGTATTAAATATAGGGCTTGCTGTTGTGTTATATTCTGATGTGTTATTGGTGGTCTCGGTTGTGTTGATGCTACGGTTGATATCAGTCCCATTGAAGTTGGTAACATTCACTGGAATATCTGTTGTGTTAAACAAGGTTGTGTTCATTGGAAAGGCTGTTGTATTTGATTGTGTTGTATTAACTGCAGGGCTTGCTGTTGTGTTATATTCTGATGTGTTATTGGAGTTATCTGTTGTGTTGATGCTACGAGTCACATCCGTCCCATTGAAGATGGTAACATTCAGTGGAATGTATGTTGTGTTAAACAAGGTTGTGTTCATTGGAAAGGCTGTTGTATTTGATTGTGTTGTATTGAACAGGGGATCTGTAATGTTGGGATAAGTTACATCAGGATTAAAAGTAGTGAAATTAAGTGTATTCATTGTAGTACTGACATGTGGTGTATATGTTGTGGTATCCGTTCCAGCATCTGTGGTGTCCATTGTAGAATTATTTAGAAGTTGTGTTCTGTCATATGGAATGGCGGTTGTATTGAATTCAGTTGTGTTGTCAAGAGGTTGAGTTGTGTTTGATTCATATGACTTAATTGGTGATTCTGTTGTATTTGCTAGGATTGTATTATTTGAGATTTCTGTAATTGTGCCGTTGTGTTGAGTTGTGTTTATTGGGGATGTTGTTGGATTTAAGTGTAATGTGGTTTGTGATGGTATTGTCAAGTTAATCAGTGGTGTATTTGGCGGAAAGGTTGTGTTGGTAAACTCTGCACCAGAGAATTGAGAACTACTTGTGTATGATTGCCTCTCATTTTCAGAAGTGACTGTTGTCGTGGCTGTTGTATAATTTAGTGCAGTTGAGTTGAATGGTATGACAGTTGTAATAAGTGTCATTCTTGTTGTATTAATTGGAGTGATGGATGAATTGAAAGTTGTTATGGTTTTATCAAGTGTTGTGACTGCAGTTGTATTAAATGATGTGACTGCTGTACTGACATGAGGGATTGTTGAATTGAGACTTGTGACAGGTGTTGTACCTGTTGTATTAATGTGTGTCGTTGTTATATTGAGTGGTGTGACTTTTATATAGACTGGTGAGGTTGCTATATTGAGTGTTGTTTTGATTGTTGAGGTTGTTAGATTGTGTTTTGTATCTATTGTTTGTAACAGTGAAGTTATATTGTGTGTTGTATCTGTTGTACTGACTGGTAAGGTTGCTATATTCTGTGTTGTATCTATTGTACTGACTGGTGAGGTTGTTATATTGTCTGTTGTCTCTGATGTACTGACTGGTGAGGTTGTTATATTGTCTGTTGTCTCTGATGTACTGACTGGTGAGGTTGTTAGATTGTGTGTTGTCTCTGTTGTACTGACCGGTGAGTTTGCTATATTGTGTGTTGAATCAGCTGTACTGACTGGTGAAGTTGTTATATTGTGTGTTGTATATGTTGTACTGACAGGTGAGGTTGTGGTTTCTGTTGTAGTTTCTATTGTGGTTTCTGTTGTTTTGACTGGTGAAGTTGTTATATATTGTGTTGTATCTGATGTACTGACAGGTGAGGTTGTTATTTTCTGTGTTGTATCTGTTGTACTGACTGGTGAAGCTGTTATATATTGTGTTGTATATGTTGTACTGACAGATGAGGTTGTTATTTTCTGTGTTGTATCTGATGTACTGACAGGTGAGGTTGTTAGATTGTGTGTTGTATATGTTGTACTGACAGGTGGGGTTGTGATTTCTGTTGTTTTGACTGGTGAAGTTGTTATATATTGTGTTGTATCTGATGTACTGACAGGTGGGGTTGTAGTTTCTGTTGTCGATTCTGTTGTTTTCACCGGTGAAGTTGTTATATATTGTGTTGTATCTGATGTACTGACAGGTGAGGTTGTGGTTTCTGTTATGGTTTCTGTTGTTTTGACTGGTGAAGTTGTTATATATTGTGTTGTATCTGTTGTACTGACCGGTGAGGTTGTTATATTTTGTGTTGTATATTTTGTACTGACCGGTGAGGTTGTTATATTGTGTGTTGTATCTGTTGTACTGACCAGGGAAGTTGGAATATTGGGTAGTGTACCTGCAATATTGAGTGGTGAGGATGTTATATTTTGTGTTGTATCTTTTCTACTGACCGGTGAGGTTGTAATTATGTGTGATGGATCTGTTGTACTGACCGGTGAGGTTGTAATTATGTGTGATTGATCTGTTGTACTGACTGGTGAGGTTGTAATTATGTGTGATGGGTCTGTTGTACTGACCGGTGAGGTTGTTATTATTTGTGATGGATCTGTTGTACTGACCGGTGAGGTTGTTATTATTTGTGATGGATCTGTTGTACTGACCGGTGAGGTTGTAATTATGTGTGATGGATCTGTTGTACTGACTGGTGAGGTTGTAATTATGTGTGATGGGTCTGTTCTACTGACCGGTGAGGTTGTTATTATTTGTGATGGATCTGTTGTACTGACTGGTGAGGTTTTAATTATGTGTGATGGATCTGTTGTACTGACTGGTGAGGTTGTAATTATGTGTGATGGATCTGTTGTACTGACCGGTGAGGTTGTTATTATTTGTGATGGATCTGTTGTACTGACCGGTGAGGTTGTAATTATGTGTGATGGTTCTGTTGTACTGACCGGTGAGGTTGTAATTATGTGTGATGGATCTGTTGTACTGACTGGTGAGGTTGTAATTATGTGTGTTGTATCTGTTGTACTGACTGGTGAGGTTGTAATTATGTGTGATGGATCTGTTGTACTGACTGGTGAGGTTGTAATTATGTGTGATGGATCTGTTGTACTGACCGGTGAGGTTGTTATATTTTGTGTTGTATCTGTTGTACTGACCGGTGAGGTTGTAAATATGTGTGATGGATCTGTTGTACTGACTGGTGAGGTTGTTATATTTTGTGTTGTATCTGTTGTACTGACCGGTGAGGTTGTAATTATGTGTGATGGAATTGTTGTACTGACCGGTGAGGTTGTAATTATGTGTGATGGATCTGTTGTACTGACCGGTGAGGTTGTAATTATGTGTGATGGATCTGTTGTACTGACCGGTGAGGTTGTTATTATTTGTGATGGATCTGTTGTACTGACCGGTGAGGTTGTAATTATGTGTGATGGTTCTGTTGTACTGACCGGTGAGGTTGTAATTATGTGTGATGGATCTGTTGTACTGACTGGTGAGGTTGTAATTATGTGTGTTGTATCTGTTGTACTGACTGGTGAGGTTGTAATTATGTGTGATGGATCTGTTGTACTGACTGGTGAGGTTGTAATTATGTGTGATGGATCTGTTGTACTGACCGGTGAGGTTGTTATATTTTGTGTTGTATCTGTTGTACTGACCGGTGAGGTTGTAAATATGTGTGATGGATCTGTTGTACTGACTGGTGAGGTTGTTATATTTTGTGTTGTATCTGTTGTACTGACCGGTGAGGTTGTAATTATGTGTGATGGAATTGTTGTACTGACCGGTGAGGTTGTAATTATGTGTGATGGATCTGTTGTACTGACCGGTGAGGTTGTAATTATGTGTGATGGATCTGTTGTACTGACCGGTGAGGTTGTTATTATTTGTGATGGATCTGTTGTACTGACCAGTGAGGTTGTTATTATTTGTGATGGATCTGTTGTACTGACTGGTGAGGTTGTTATATTTTGTGTTGTATCTGTTTTACTGACCGGTGAGGTTGTAATTATGTGTGATGGATCTGTTGTACTGACCGGTGAGGTTGTTATTATTTGTGATGGATCTGTTGTACTGACTGGTGAGGTTGTTATATTTTGTGTTGTATCTGTTCTACTGACCGGTGAGGTTGTAATTATGTGTGATGGTTCTGTTGTACTGACCGGTGAGGTTGTAATTATGTGCGATGGATCTGTTGTACTGACTGGTGAGGATGTTATATTTTGTGTTGTATCTTTTCTACTGACCGGTGAGGTTGTTATTATTTGTGATGGATCTGTTGTACTGACTGGTGAGGATGTTATATTTTGTGTTGTATCTTTTCTACTGACCGGTGAGGTTGTTATATTTTGTGTTGTATCTGTTTTACTGACCGGTGAGGTTGTAACTATGTGTGATGGATCTGTTGTACTGACCGGTGAGGTTGTAATTATGTGTGATTGGTCTGTTGTACTGACCGGTGAGGTTGTAATTATGTGTGATGGGTCTGTTGTACTGACCGGTGAGGTTGTAATTATGTGTGATGGATCTGTTGTACTGACCGGTGAGGTTGTAATTATGTGTGATGGATCTGTTGTACTGACCGGTGAGGTTGTAATTATGTGTGATGGGTCTGTTGTACTGACCGGTGAGGTTGTAATTATGTGTGATGGATCTGTTGTACTGACCGGTGAGGTTGTAATTATGTGTGATGGATCTGTTGTACTGACTGGTGAGGTTGTAATTATGTGTGATGGATCTGTTGTACTGACCGGTGAGGTTGTTATATTTTGTGTTGTATCTGTTCTACTGACCGGTGAGGTTGTAATTATGTGTGATGGATCTATTATGTGTGATGGTTCTGTTGTACTGACCGGTGAGGTTGTAATTATGTGTGATGGTTCTGTTGTACTGACCGGTGAGGTTGTAATTATGTGTGATGGTTCTGTTGTACTGACCGGTGAGGTTGTAATTATGTGTGATGGTTCTGTTGTACTGACCGGTGAGGTTGTAATTATGTGTGATGGATCTGTTGTACTGACTGGTGAGGTTGTAATTATGTGTGATGGATCTGTTGTACTGACCGGTGAGGTTGTAATTATGTGTGATGGATCTGTTGTACTGACTGGTGAGGTTGTAATTATGTGTGATGGATCTGTTGTACTGACCGGTGAGGTTGTAATTATGTGTGATGGATCTGTTGTACTGACCGGTGAGGTTGTTATATTTTGTGTTGTATCTGTTCTACTGACCGGTGAGGTTGTAATTATGTGTGATGGATCTGTTGTACTGACTGGTGAGGTTGTTATATTTTGTGTTGTATCTGTTCTACTGACCGGTGAGGTTGTAATTATGTGTGATGGATCTGTTGTACTGACCGGTGAGGTTGTAATTATGTGTGATGGATCTGTTCTACTGACCGGTGAGGTTGTAATTATGTGTGATGGATCTGTTGTACTGACCGGTGAGGTTGTAATTATGTGTGATGGATCTGTTGTACTGACTGGTGAGGTTGTTATATTTTGTGTTGTATCTTTTCTACTGACCGGTGAGGTTGTAATTATGTGTGATGGATCTATTATGTGTGATGGATCTGTTGTACTGACCGGTGAGGTTGTTATTATTTGTGATGGATCTGTTGTACTGACTGGTGAGGTTGTTATATTTTGTGTTGTATCTTTTCTACTGACCGGTGAGGTTGTAATTATGTGTGATGGATCTATTGTACTGACCGGTGAGGTTGTAATTATGTGTGATGGATCTGTTGTACTGACCGGTGAGGTTGTAATTATGTGTGATGGATCTGTTGTACTGACTGGTGAGGTTGTTATATTTTGTGTTGTATCTTTTCTACTGACCGGTGAGGTTGTAATTATGTGTGATGGATCTATTATGTGTGATGGATCTGTTGTACTGACCGGTGAGGTTGTAATTATGTGTGATGGATCTATTATGTGTGATGGATCTGTTGTACTGACTGGTGAGGTTGTAATTATGTGTGATGGTTCTGTTGTACTGACCGGTGAGGTTGAAATTATGTGTGATGGATCTGTTGTACTGACCGGTGAGGTTGTAATTATGTGTGATGGATCTGTTGTACTGACTGGTGAGGTTGTAATTATGTGTGATGGATCTGTTGTACTGACCGGTGAGGTTGTAATTATGTGTGATGGATCTGTTGTACTGACCGGTGAGGTTGTAATTATGTGTGATGGATCTGTTGTACTGACCGGTGAGGTTGTAATTATGTGTGATGGTTCTGTTGTACTGACCGGTGAGGTTGTAATTATGTGTGATGGATCTGTTGTACTGACCGGTGAGGTTGTAATTATGTGTGATGGTTCTGTTGTACTGACCGGTGAGGTTGTAATTATGTGTGATGGTTCTGTTGTACTGACCGGTGAGGTTGTAATTATGTGTGATGGTTCTGTTGTACTGACCGGTGAGGTTGTAATTATGTGTGATGGATCTGTTGTACTGACCGGTGAGGTTGTAATTATGTGTGATGGATCTGTTGTACTGACCGGTGAGGTTATAATTATGTGTGATGGATCTGTTGTACTGACCGGTGAGGTTGTTATTATTTGTGATGGATCTGTTGTACTGATCGGTGAGGTTATAATTATGTGTGATGGATCTGTTGTACTGACCGGTGAGGTTGTAATTATGTGTGTTGTATCTGTTGTACTGGCCTGTGACGTTGTAATTATGTGTGTTGTATCTGTTGTACTGGCCTGTAACGTTGTAATATATTCTGTCATATCTGTTCTACTGACCGGTGAGGTTGTTATATCAAGTGTAGTATCTGTTGTACTGACCGATGAGGTTGTTATATTGTTTGGTGTACCTGCTGTATTGACTGTTTGGGTTGTTTTATCAAGTGTTGGAATGAGTGGCAGGCTTTTCGTATCATGGGAAATAGTGTTTGTTTGAGTGGCTTTACTATTGATGGATGTAGTAGATATTAGGACTTCAGGTGTATCAGAAGTGTTCATGATATTTCTGGATGGTGTGACTGCAGGGTGGGTTTGGGTGATCAGTGACCAGTCTGTAGTTACTGATGCTACAGTCTGTAGTACACTGCTCTTAGAGCTTGTTCTAGGAGGGACAAGTTGAGTTGTGTTGGATATAGAAGGTGAGATCCCACAGCTCTCATTTAAAAGAACAGCAAACGTCTGACCCTGTGCACTGGAAAACAGAGCAGGATTGGAAAGTTTGTTTGGAAAGAGCTTTTGTTAGTAATGGGACAATATTCTTGTCAAACAAAAAATCCTAACCATTAAATACTGCTAAAATAAGATCGAAATGATAGGGTGATATTTTCAATTCACAAATCTAAGACCAACAAGGATTTGGATCTAGACACACCTACAGTATTAGTGAAATCATGCTATGTTCACACTGCCAACAATTCTTTCTTTTTTATTAATCTGCATAATTCTGTTTGTAATGTGCTTTGAATGTTTAAGCATAACATTTGGTTTAAATTGAAATTTAGTTTTACAGTGTGATTATAACCCATTAGACATAAGTAAATAATTAAAATCTGGACTGAATACAAGATTTACCATCTCAAATGATTTTTGATGTCCTCATTCTGGCTTGCACTGAGATTTACAGCGACCCATGTAAATGTTGAGTTCAAAGGAATGGTTTCTGAATCAGTGGGCAAACGACATATGGCTATACAGTAGAGAGATAGAAAACAAAAATGTATTTTTAGTGTTTACACCACTTGGATAAGCTGTGAATGTGAAATACCAGTACATACAGTTCAACACTCACCTATTCTACTTAGAGGTCCATCGACTCTAATGTTGGTACTGTCCTTCATAAGAACGGCAATAGCAGTACTAACAGTACACACATCCAGCTGTTTTGACAGCTGCAGAGTCAACATACATGTGTAGAGCCTAAGGAATAATAGATGTGTTAATCTGACATAAATGCATGCTGAGTCAAACACACACACATGATAGTACGAATTACCTTGTTCCTTCTCCAAAACATTCCAAGTGTATTCCCTGTAAAGCATCAAACATAGCCTTTCAGAGCAGATACAGAAAATATGAAGTGATGTAACAAGATTATTTAGCTAAAGATGGGAAACAAATGAATAATTACCTGGTACAACTTGGATACTTCAGAGTTACACAGAGACCTATGAACATGGATCATCAACAAACAAAAAATTAATTATATTCACCAACATACAGTATAATCATTGACTTCCTCTATTAGTGTTGCATGATCCTCCAAAAATCATTTTAATATTATGCTGATTTGGTGCTCAAGAAACATTTCTCATTTATCAATGTTGAAAACAGATGAGCTCCGTAATATTTTTGAGGAAACCACAATACATGCATACATTTTTTTAATGATTCTTTATTGAATAGAAAGATCAACAGAATTATTATTATTACGTGATTATTTTGAAATATAAAACATTTGTAATATTATGAACGTCTTTACTGTCACATTTGACCAATTTAATGTATACCTGTACACACACACACACACACACACACACACATATGTGTTATTTGGAAATTGCAGACATACCCTTGCATTATGGGTTTGTTGCAGGGAGTTCTCAACTCTTCAACCTATTAGATGGAACAAGGGAACTAATAAGACAATATCTATATTGTCACTTACTGAGGTAAGCCACAGCTGTACCTTGAAAATCTTAACTAGATAGCAATGTTTTTAAACTTTCTATAGCCATTTTACCAGTTCACTAAAACCTTTTATCTGAGACACTCACCATGTTCTGTACGTAGGTGAAATTAACATCTGGGCTTGTAATATTTAGGCGAACGGCATAATATGTCTCTAAAAGAGAGGTAGAGGAGAGAGCTTGGAGTCTGATTGGTCAACAACACGTACTTGAACATACTCGTATATAGATTAATTGTTGTTTCACTCACCGTTGTTGTTAGAGACGTGACACTCACAATGTTGTTGGTTATTAACTAAAAAGACCAAAATTTCAACTGTGAACATCATACTGGTATTAGTCAGAAAATGATGACAAAGAGTTATAACACTCACCACTGCAGGATTGATTAGAAACCAAGTCTTTAGGAACAAAGCCATTCTCCGTATAAGAGCTAATGCAAGAAAGAGGGAACTTTAGGAAATGAATATTGCAATCTCAATGTAAACATATCGTCAGCATATCAGTAGCATATCGTACCATGTGACATTTACAGGTCCCTGGTTCTTGCAGAAACCATCGTAAGACATTGGAGATGTGCAGTGCACAAAACCATCTCCAGGGGGCGTAATATGGTTATCTGGGCAAAGGCCTTTTCCTATGAACACAAGCCATTTTGTGAGATTTAAAAAAATGATCAATTAATCATGCATTATCTTTTAAACTGCTGGTTTTGGTTGTCATATGGACCACTTTTACGATTCTTTTTGTAATTTTGAAGCCTAACAGATCCATAACAGAATTCTATATTCTATATAGAAGTCCCCATTTATGTCTATATTTTGATATATATGATATATTTTGTTTTACTCACCCACTCTTTCTACATCTCCCAGAAGCTGGATCTGGATTGATTGGTTGATAGTCTTGTTTTCCACCCACTTGCGGAGGATGCATGTATTCACTGGCTGGCTCAGCTGTAAAAGCACTGTGCAGTTTGTCCACCTGTAAGAACGGGGGCAGTAGTTACTTGTTACTTAATGTTGAAATACAATGATATCATGTTTTTTGTGTAGCTTAGAGATTTGGGATTGACTTACTGGATGTTCTGCTTCTCTTTACATCTAACCTCAGCAGTCTATATTAATGAAAAATACATTTTATAATGATGCATTGTTGGACAACATCAAAGTTCAGGCTTTGAATACAAATAATAATACTTACCACAAAGACTATCTCATTTTGACATGATGTAGGATTGATTTCTGTTGTTGAAACTCCAGCAGAGCAGATGCTCATGTTAAAACGATCTGAAAACTGATTATAATGGGGGAAGCATCACACAAATGTACAAATGAAATGTTTTAATAACTTTTATTATTATTTCTATGAAAGTGTTATTAATCATAAAAACGGTTCATACCCAAATTTGAATATCTCCTTCAGTCATATTAGAGCCATGTACCTCCACAAGCATCCAGTAGTATGATGCTGTGACGTAAGAAGAGAGATATTTTTACACAATCTCAGAAAATCACCACATTGAATCTTAATTATGTCTTCAGAGAACAAAATAGGCTTTGTCTAAACATTCTTACATTCATTAGCGCAGTATTGGGAAAAGTTACACTGTACCACCAATGGCTCTGAAACAAATGGAATGGCACATCAAAGCATTGAAACATTAAGATTAATTTTATAATGTATAAATTATGTAATATGTGGCAGAATGAGAGAATGAAGGTAGGGAATTTAATTTAATATCCTGTAATTATCACCGAAATAGAAGCCATCTATCTTTTTCCAAAAAAGAAGAAAAAAAAGACAATCAGAACGCAGTGATAATAGCTGTACCTGTTAATAATGCATTTGACGTCGTTGGTCGTAGAACTGCAGTCTGATTGGTTCCTTGAGTCATGACAGTTGGTTCAGTGGGAGAGCTTGCTGTCGTGCGATTGGCTGTTGTTTCAGACAAGCCACTGACTGGATGGCTAATGTGATTGCTTGAAAGTGTCTGGGCAGATATTGACGTGCTCTGGGTCGTTTGAGCGGTTACGTAAGACATAGGTGAGGCCGGTGTTGAAGGCAATCTGTTTAATCTAACAGTATTTGACATTGAAGTTGTGTTATTAAGAGCTGATCCATTAGGAGCTTGAGTGGCGGGTGTAACAGCTGTGTTTGATGTAGTAGTTGATGTGAGAGGAATTTGTATTGGTATAGATATTGTAGCGAGATCTGCAGGATTCAATGGGCTTCTGCCCTGAGAGGTTGAAGCAGAGAGGCCAGGTCCTGTGGGGAAAAAAATGAAATGAATTTGTTTTGAGTTAGAGGAATGTTCATAGGTAATGTAGCGGAACGGAAGTACCAACTTTTTGGTATTTTTTTGTAAATAATTCAGTATTTAGTAGGAATGTCTTTTGGGGGAACTAATTTAGCTCCTACTTCAGAGTAGGGTCTAACCCAGAACAGTATAGGAACTTCCAGTGACGTATGCCATACGAAACCCTTAGACAGTGTAAACAGACAATTTACATATACTGTACTTAGTTTATACAGTATCTACACATTGCGACCAGGAAATTGGCCATAGGGGAAAATGTAGTTTCTGGTGGACTGGCTGGTAGCTGGTTCCTATTGTTCCTATAGTATACTATCCGGTGCGAAAGCCCCTGTAGTACTACAGATTATGCATAAAATGTAGAACATTGTGATTTGAAATCTGACAAGTCTAATCATCTTGAAATGTATAAATGTAACAAATCTGAGTTTTGTTTGACTGTAGTACTTTAACAGGAATGAATTCATGCACATTACTGTAGATTAAAAAACATGTGAAATCTCTCTCAGAGAAAATCCATTTCTAGATGCATACCCTTTTTGCATTATTGGTACAATCTGTGATCTAGTCAACCTCACTAATCTTGTTGGATGAATATTCAACCATCCTGACCCATGCAACACCAAAACAACTCAAAGTAAATGTCTCACTGACTGAAGGAGCTTTGGCACTCGGATGCACACCCCAGCTTTTGATAATTAGCAGCATCCTCGTCTGTTTACTGACCTTGGGTTGTGTTTGTCTGTGCACTGGTAGGCCTATATATTGAAGTCAAAACTGAGTAGAGCGGACCTTAGAGGGAGGAAGAGACAAACTGTCATTTAACTCAGAAGCAAACAAATTCTATGTAAATCTAAAATGCAAATATACACAAAGTAGTAAGTAAGTACAATGTTATATATAAACTCTGGGGGTCAACAATAATTTGAATAATTAAGACTTTTTATTGTTTTTTTGAAACAGTTATATTCTGCTCAAGGTTGAATTTATTGGATCAAATATACAGTAAAGCATTAATATTGTGACATATTACTACATAAACAGCTGTTTTCTATTTTAATATATTATAAAATGTATTTATGTATTTATTATTATGTATTTATTCCAGTGATGGCAAAGCAGAATTTTCAGCATCATTACTTCAGTCTTTAGTTTCACATCATCCTTCATTAATCAATATGCTGATTTGATGATCAATTATTATTGGTTCACAATTATTAACAATGGTTCTTAGTATCAATGTTGAAAAGAGTTTCTGCTGCTTAATATTTGTGTGTAAAACATTGTAATAATAATCAATAAGCAAATCAATATTACAATATTACTGATTGAATGTATTTTTCATCAAATGAATGCAGCGTTGGTGAGTATAATTTTTTTTTTTTTTTTAGTAAAAAGTATTTTATGCAACAACAACAACAACAAAAAGTTGGTATTATTCCATTATAAAGTAATTATTCCAAACTTTTGACATCCAGTGTATATAACTCTTAAAATATTAATAATTGAAAAAATAATGTATTATATAGACCCCCCCAGCACCGGCACACACACACCGGCACACACACACAAATATGTATGTGTGTGTGTGTATTATGATTAATCAGATACATACACATTAAAAAATGCTGGGTTGTTTTAACCCAACTCTGGGTCATTGGGTTAAATTTTTACATTACATTTTTAACCCAACATTTCGGGTTTGTCCATATTTGACCCAAAATTGGGTTAAAACAACCCAGCATTTTTTAGAGTGTAGGTCTATGTATGGCTTAATTGGATTGTATTTTTTGATAGTATTGATATGAATGATGTGTATATAATGTAATGTACATGGCCATGTTTAATTCCCAGGCCTCTATTGCTGTTGGTGAAGCAAACATGGAACACTTACTTTGAGAAGCTAAAGCAAGCTCTCGGCCAGTGGCTTCACTTTGGAATGCTGTAAGTGGAAATATATATATAATTATATATAATTTATATATATAATTTAACCTTGAAACCTTAAAATCCAGAATTGGTTCAAGGGGTTATCAAAAGCACCAATGCATTTAATTCACTAGTGAAAAAAGAGATTCTGATTCTGAATCACAAAATGTGAAATTGTGATTCTTTTCAGACGGTTACACACACACACACACACAAAAAAAAAACATACCCAACCCGCCCACTGTTCAAAACATTAGTTGGCGTCATGCATGCCTAGAACATGCATGTCTATTTAGTGCAGCATTCCAATGAGATCGAGGACAAAGGAAGAGCTGCCTTTGCAGAGCAGTGGAAATGATATATGACGTTAAAGTGAAGCACCGTCATACATTCAGAAGTATTGATTCCAGGAAACTATCCTAATTACGTAAAACTATCAGTTGAATGATGCCTTCTAAATCTAAATATACAATACAGGTTTGGTTAATAACTTTCTGTTTAGAGATTGTTTTTATAAATATTTCCCTGCCATTCAGATATTTTAGTGCCCTGTCTAGATTATCCAAGCTGTTTTCTAAAAGATGGAAAAGTATGACGAATTACTGTTAAGCTCCAAAATAGGACAAAAAAAGCACCTTTAAGGTAGTTCCCTTTGACACGTGTACTATATTCCAGGGGCCATATTCACAAAGAATATTAAGGCTAAAAGTAGCTCCTAACTGGCGAATTTAGGAGCAACTCCTAAAAATAATCGGCGTGTCACTCCTAAATTTAGGACTCTTTATTTTTTTCACGAGAGTAATTCACGAAGCATTTTAGCCCTAGGAAGTCGAGAGGAATCCTGACTCACTAAGACCTATTCACGAAGGATTGTAGCGCATAGCACCGCCTCTCGCAGTCGTCCGGGGTCCGCGACATAATGCGGACTGCTTTATGTTGCATTGATCGGAAACAAATCCTCTCCCATGTCTCACGCTTAGTTTTGCTTGATATCCCAGTGCAGAATTTCCTTTTTATTATGTTTTTATATATATATAGCAACATTTTTATTATGTTTTTATATATGAAGAGTTCAGATGCAAAAGCCTCTAAGTGCCATTTGAAATTTTCTTCTAGAATGATCATTTTTATCAAGCTTGTATATTTAAGTTCAGTGATTTCACTTAAATGGCAATGATAATTACCTATTAATTGTTATTTAAGTGAAATTACTGAACTTAAAAATACAAGTTTAATAAAAATCATCATTAAAGAAGAAAATTTCAAATGGCATTTAGAGGCTTTTGCATCTGAACTCTTCATATATAGCAACATTTCCTTGTTTTAAGTAGTCTATGTAGGTAGGCTGGTCAATTAACCAAGCAAGTGTTAATGCAAGTGTCGTTTTTTCATTATTAGGCAACGGAAAATATTCATGACAGTTATAACTGCCAACTACATGACAGTTTAACTTAATTTTATGTCAAGTTTTCATGACAAAGACACTGACAGGTTATGATGTTATGGTTTATGTCATGACAAAGACATCTTAAACAATGTCAAATTTGCATTCAGAATGTCATTATAGAACGAAAGACACTTAATGACAGTTGTCATAAACATGCTACTTCATATTCAAGACGTATGTCATGTCTATGAAGGTGTCTTGTCAGTATTATCCACACCCCTTCAAGTAAAGTGTTACCTAAAATTCTTTGTGAATACGGCTCCAGATCTTATAAAGCTTTATAAATTCAGTGCAGAACATTCAGATGTTCAGTGTTGTAAGTGGTCATAAGTTTGGCTAAGACATTGTGAGAATCTTTTTTTGTGTTCCATGGCAATAATCAAACGTGCTCTAATAAACTGTCCTCTCTCTTATATTCTTCTTTATAGTGAGTTGGTTTGTTCCAACAGTGAAGGTTTTTAAACCATTCCTGTAGACTCCAGCAGTACTGCACATTTGGATGTATCTCTTATTTAAAACGGCTGAACTAGTAGTGTACTCTATGACCAATAATTTTCCATAATGTGGATGGGTGGGAAGGCCCAAAACCCCTGGGCCCGTTTTCATTAAGATTCTAAGAATCCTCTCAGAAAACTCTTAATTTAGCATAAAAATTTTACGAGCGATTCGGGTCTGATCTGAGAGCAACTCTGAGTAAGGAGAAGACAAAAACGTTCATCTTTGTGAGGAGACAGGGTTGACCCCGTTGCTATGTCTGACTGTGATTTGTTGGTTCTCCAACAAGGAAAAAAAGAGCAATTTTAAGTATAGAGAAAACATGGAATAAAAAAAGAGAAAGCCGAGAAAGCCCAACTGGCCAAAGAACCGTGTTTACTGTTAGTCCATTAGTGGATGAACACTAGGCCATCATTAAAGTATCATTTACTTATCATCATTTGCCAAATATCTTAATGTAGTGATTACTTGCATTTCTGGCGTTATGGCATTCCTGCGCTGTGTCGGAGATATTTGCGTGTCTCTAATAAGATCATAAGATCAATAAGATTGTATGTAATATGTGCAGTATCTGTTGAGTTTTAGAGGCCCTGATACACTTCAAGCTAAATCATATAACGATTTGCTGTGATGTAAATTAGGCCAAAATCAAGTTCTTTTGGAGTTTGGAGTTGACGTCCGCGAATAAAAGCGTGAGCATAAACTGGAGAGCTGCTTTATAGTAGAAGTTGTAATTCTAATTGAAATTTGCAATGTTTTGTCTTAGAAAATAGGCAACTTTAAATTATAAATAGCTTATAGCTTGGGAAGTAATTTTCAAACTACAATAGTACTCATTAAATTGAATTCACACTTGCACTGCACTTACTGATGGATGGGGATGTATTTCCAACTCCACGTTTCATACGTAGATGCCCTAGGCCTAGAAGATGAAATATAGAAATAGAATTTGCATGCACAAATTACAGAAAGACAAGAGCGAGTGAGTGTCGTTACTACTGTCTTTCTTGTACCCTGCATCAAAATCTGATCCGATCATTTAAATCAAGACATCCAAGGTTTTCAATCTAACATTGGCATCTGGATGTGTTTTGAAATGTTTCAAATATCCTGTAGGATATTTGAAATTGATTTAACATCATAATTTCCTGTGGAGGAGAAAAGGCCTGTGTATTGCATGGTGAGCTCAATCACTTCTAACACAGAGAATCCAGATTTGATCTGATGTATATCGGATTTTATTGATTTTTTATTTTTTTTTAAGTTGACCAAAGGCAAGTATAAATTCTTTATTCCAGTGATACTTCTTGAGAAATTGTTTACTGCAGTTATAAAAAAAACAATAAAAAGAAGGCAGTTATCAAATGAATAATGGATACCTTCTGATGCAGGGAACAGGCAAGGCTTGTGATTCATCTGTTGGAAAATTTATTCTTAAGCCAGTAACTGTGTTTCAGAAAATGATAACTGGTTTCTAGCTGGTTCAAGATGGTCATTAAGCTAGTCGTTAGGTGGTCTAAATTGGTCATTAACTGGTCCAAGATGGAAATAAGCTGGGCTTGCTCATCCATTGCTGGTTCTCTTTAGCTGATCCTATTGTTATTGGGGATGTTCAAGATTAGTCGACTAAACGATACTGCTGCTGCTAGTCGCCATTGGAAATACTACTCGTTTTTAGCACATTTATGTTATGTTTTATATTATCTACACATTTATTTGTGGAAATCTGGTTTTAATATTGAGTTTGTAATTATTGGTCATGTATTGCCGATTAATTCAGTTGATTTTAATATGTCTATATAGACTAATTGAACAACAGTCAATATAGTCATATTGTCAAAATACAGTCAATATAATTGTTGACATTATACAGTATGATCTATTTTTCAGCGGCATTCAGTAAGGAATTTGACTGTTTGATTAATAGATAAAGTAGCCAATTTGAAATGAATCATGTTGTTTGACAATTATCTTGTGGTTTCTAGGACTAGTTGACCAGACGGTTACAAAATTTTAGTTTAAACATTATAGAAATTAGTTGTGGTGCACATCCCTGGATGTTAGGCAGTCCAAAGTAGTAATTAAATAGTCCAAGCTAGTCATTAGGTACTTGGTTATAGGGTGTTCATAGCTAGTTATTCTTCAAGTTTATCAGACCAAGCTGGTATAGATCATCATGGACCAGCAACAAACTGGTTTCCAGCTTTTCAAGCTTTTTTTTTGGAACATTGCTAATCAACCAGCTAATCACCACTTTAGACCAGTTAGAAACCAGCTTCAGTACCATGTTCTAAAATACAACTACTGGATTTTTTTAGATCATTATTATATCTACAAATAATACATGCATGAAAGTGAGTTTTCTTTAGTAGTTAAAGTAGTGAAATCATCATGCAACATCAAAGCATCATGCATATAGTGTATATGACACTACACAACCAAACATGTCCCAACTAATCCACATGCTCGTTACAAGCTTTAAATAGTTTTAAAGATACACTCACAAAAAAAAAACATACAGTGCATTATTTTACATCAGAGAGAGAATGTGCTTCAGGCTGTTTACAGTTTGCCAAGTTGATCTGACGTGGGCAAATTATCACTGCTATTTTAAACCCGCCTCTACTATCCTTTACCGGTTAAACAGGCTCCCCTCTTGTCAATCCCATGTACTCACCACATTGAAGCGTGTAATCTTGGACTCTGGCCTGGGCTCGTGTGAAGCCCCAATTTCGCGAGTCCCAGCCAATCACAGTCCCATCCTCACATATCCTGTGCTCTCCTACATCGTCCCATATGCGGAAAAGATAGAGCTCCACTGTAGCCATTGTTGCCTTAGGTGAGGCCTCATTGGGTTGGCAACCCAGCAGAATACGTCCAGAAGGGGGAATTGCTCGGGCAATGGCGGTCCGCTGATATACTTCTGAGCTCCCACCTATTGTCAGGCTGAAGCTTTTCTTAGGGGCGTCCCACCGTAGACATATGTGGTGCCAGCGACGAGCGGTCAGCTGGACAGTGAACTGGTGGCGTACGCCCAACAGCCAGGCGTACAGGTTGTTTTCATCACCTTGCAGGGCCAGTTCGTAGCGGGCTGCGCGGGCCGAGACATAGCTAAAAGCAGTCCACCCGCCTGGGGAAAGGACCTTCACGTCCACGCATACAGTCGTTTGAAAGAGCACGGGTATTTGACCCTGCCCTTGGAAAGTCCAGTGGTCATCACATGCTTGCAGGACAGCCTTAGCATCCGACATGAAGAAGCCATTTACTTGGAAGAGAGAGAGAGAGAGAGAAACAGGTCAATAAGTAAACAGGTTGATGTATTCAATACAATAAATCATACATTTTAGCCTACCTAATGTTAAATATAAATAAAATAAAACGTTTATCTGAATCACTCATTTTTTTGGTAACACTTTACAATAAGGTTCATTACTTTTCAATATCAGATTCACAAAATATTGACTGACGCTGGCCGATGTTATCAGTTATTTTATTCAAAATATAAATAATCATTGGTTATTGTGTTTGCTTAGAAAGTAACAATGTCCATTAAATAAAATTTAGATTTACAACCTATTTTATTCAAATAAATGCAGCTGAGGATAATAGAGTTCTTGATAATATAAAATGAAAAAAACATTAAAAAGACTTCTTTTGAATAAAGGTGGAGACATATTTACTATTGTTCTGATGTTCATAGGCAAAAGCCAGTCCTATAAATAGGCAATAGACAAAGGACCTTTTTTGACTGCAAAAATTTCGCCGGAATTTTGCAAATGCGACTGCACCTTACCATGCACTACAAATTGTTCACATTAAGACCTGGATCATGTAAGAAAATAAACGGGGTAAAACAAGGTTATTTTTTTAAGAGAAGAATGACATTTGTCAAAGGCTATATGGCACATTTATTTAACCTATTAAGAGACTGCTGCAAATTTATAAAGACAATGTAACCTTTAGTCTTTTCAAGACACTGAAAATATTCTACTCTGTTAAATCTTCACAAAACTTGCACACCTTCACATTAACTTTGAACTATAAATCCATCAGACCTGTCCAATTTACTCATTACTTCCCCATGAGGCCTGTCAGTTCCACAATGCTTGCGTTTGGTGATTTGAAAAGAAAACAACCAGTTAAAACAGGCTGGCCCGGATTTGGCCTGAAAGGAACAAGCTCCACTGTGTCCTATCAGTAACACTGACAGTCATATGTGTGAGTATGCGTGTGTGCATACCATGAATATTCTTTAAAGGTCAGACTCAGAGTATATGACTATGTCAAAATAATACTAGCTGTAGCTGACAACTCGAAATGAGAATTTACTGGATATTTAATTATAATAGATAACCTAGATCTAAATTCTGTTCTATAGGTCACATCTAAATTGTTTGTCTACTGTAAACTTTTTGTAAATCCTTATTTTTAGTGTTATTTCATCTACAAAAAAAAAAAAAAAAAAAAAAAAAAAACGGATTGTACTTAAAACTCTCACATTTTTGTTTTGATGTGAATATGTTGTCTAACCTGTCCAGTTTTAGGTAATGTGTCTTAGGTAAAAATACTGACGCTACTAAAGCCTAGTTTACAGTACATGATTTTAAAACGTCGGGCTGAACTGTGCGCTTCATACTACATGACTTGCTCTCTGTGAAATCAGGAGTGTTCAAGTTGTTCAAGTTTGATTGATCCGCAACAATCAAGCGATAAAACGAACCGAAAACGACGCGAAACAGCACGCGCGCCAATACCCATCAAAGAAGGTGACGAACACAACACGAGAATGGACGTCAGAAAAAAAACTAGTGCTGCAAACTGTTTGAGCGATGATTTGCTCTGAGAAAAAAACGCAATCTTACATACAGCTCCTTTAACTATGTATGTCTTATATGTTTTTACTATGTGGTGTGTAATTTGGTTGTAGAGCCAGTGTCAAAGATGAATTTCTGTTCGGTAGGTCTGAACAGAAAATAAAGTTAATCAATCAATAATTTGAAAACCAATTAGGCCCTTTTTGCCCTCTGCTCTATGTTGTGTTGGTGGATTCTCATAATATGATTTCATAATATGATTAAAATACGCTGCCCCCTAAAAATGTTGCGAGTTTGTCTGCATTGATTGAATCTACAACACAGCTGACTCAGTACTTCCCGTTCACAGTTTACAGCCTCCTTCCATTCATATTAATCGCTTTACAGCTTGAAGCAGTTTTATAGACCTTTATGGGAGTGCAGGCAAGCAATTAGGCAAATGCTGCCTTGGAAGGATATTTGGACTTGATGCTCAGCCAAATTTTAGACTCTCTATCTCTGTACTTTGCTCATGTATAAATACGGAAACAATACAAACAGATTAGTATCTGTTAACATCACCTGTTGAGATATAATCTTCATATCACCTTTTTCCGTTTGGTCTCCATAAAAAATTGCATTTTTGACTTTCGTAGACTCACAAGTTTTCTAACAAATAAAGATTGGTAAAATTACAGTAGCTATATGTACTGACCTTGAGGCAGGAGTTGAACCCAAAGACAGAGAAGCCAGATAAAGTGATGTGCAGACTTCTTGTATCGTCCACTCAGGTGCTTGTTGTGCTTGTAAAGCATCCTTCAAAGAAAAACAAAGAAATGCTTTTGTTCAAAGAAAGAAATGAAAAAGTGTATTCATCTCACACAATAACAGGGTGTAACTGAGTGAAGCTTATTACTGCTCATCCAGAGTGTCAGTGGACACTGAAATGAAAATGACACTGTTGTTAAACCTGCATGTCCTCTGAGTCTCAATCAAAAGTCTTTTATCAAAATAATAACAATTTATATAAGGGTTTGGCATTTTATTTAGTTGAATATCCTGTTTCACAGACCAATGATTTTCACATACAGTACGTTCAATGATTTGACCGTCGTTGTGACATGTTTTGACATTTAATGCTTTGTTTTTAACTTTTACAAGTTTCTAGTAATGTATATTCTATAAAACCTGACAGTTTTTGTGTGTGTATTTGTTTTATATTCTATATTATTCTCCATGAAAAAACAATGTTGGCTGTATCTTATGCAGTAGGTAAGTAGGTGTACTCATACCCTGTCCAAAATGGTACTTCGGCTAGAAGTTCGCAAAAGTCTGTGGTGATTCACATCTCTATAAAAGGGGATAAAAGTCCAACTTGATTATAGAAAAGACAGGAAACAGTAAATGTCTGCGGCTGGTTTACAGTAATAAGACTGACTGAGATACTGAGAGTGATTGAATGGCTGTGTGGGGATGTTTGAATAAGACTGATGAAATGCTCCTGGTTTACTGTCTGGACAGAACAGACAGACATTACTATCTGTGTGCGTGAGGCAGTAATTCTGTCTAATGCAAAGTGGCAGTCAACTTGCAACAGTCCCTTTCATCAAATCTGTCTGACTGCTTATTCATTCAGCTACTCACACAATCTCTCTTTTTCATGTCCTCTATCTTCATTTTTTCACTTTCTAAACATTAGCATTATAGTTAGTTTAGTTTCCAATTTTCAGGTCTAATACCGATTATGCATTATTATGCTTTATAATGTTGTACTTAGACATGGCCACTAGTACTACATTTGAATAGCCTTGATTAAACATCTTTTTTGCCAACATAATGTTATGGCATATACCAGCAGTGACTAAGCAGCAAAACCAATGATTTTGGCTATGTTTCGACACAAACGGTGAATTCGTTGAACATGTTGTGATACAATTCTACGTAGAAATCAGCTTAAAAAGACAGAGGTAAAGAGGCTGTACCGTGTGCTCATTTGGTAAGCACTTGCATCCAGTAATTGTGATAACATCACAACCTGAGCTCAATTAAAAAACGCATTTCTCAACATGAAAACAATAAACAGCTCAAGTGTTCCCACTCCAATTAGAATCTCGGGATGTATTAAAGGGCCACAGATGAGGTAGTTTGCAGTGGAACAATGAAACTGAACAACAAAGAAGAGAGTTGATCAAAATTCAAGTTATATAAATTCTTTATATACTAATCTTTTTTTTTTTTTACACAAATATGTGGTGTGGAATTTTGCCAAATGTATTCTATTCATTGGTGTACATGAGTATCAGGATTTAGAGTTGTTAAAGTGTTAATGTTTGCTGATTTGTGATGGCCGCAGACACTAAATTGCAAGCTTTAAAGCAGGCTTTTCTTCAGGAAAACCTGAAAATATCAAGTAATTGTAAAATAGTGCTTCACAGGTCTGGAGAAGTCATTTGTCTGGATAATATACAATCTTATGTTATTGACATGAGCTTCCTTGGAACTCACATGGATATGTCATGGAAATGGAATGGAAAGGGGAAATGATGCTGTTTTGACTGTGAAAAATTTTTGGTTATTGCAAAGCTCTATATGAAAAGCAATGCAAAAGAGTAATTTTGAAAACCACAGTATTCATGCATCATGTGTCATTATTATGGATCAGAGAAAGACATTAAACCAACAGGTTTAGACATTCTTTTATAGTTTAAAATCTAGGAGTCTGTTGGCCAAGGAAGTCAAATGAAATGTATTGTTATTTTTGGAATGTAAGCAGGTTGGACTGGATTTAAACATGCCGATAATCTCCAGATATGTAGGCCTATTTGTTTCATCAAAGGCAATGGATAGAAAATCTGGCCCAGACTTTTGATAATTTCCTGCCAATCTGGGGGGTGCAGAGGGTCAATATAAATATGACATCAAATTCCATTCATAGCTGAAAGAATAGTCTAGATTGCTTCACACCTGTCCATACCTCAGACAACCCCACACATCACATCTATCCATCTATCGCCTAAAATATCTGTCTGTCCAAAACAAAACCGTATTGAGGTTGAACTGTATGGCTATAACTTAATATAAACTCACTCAGTAATGTCTAAAAGTTGTCCAATGTCTCTTTACCTGACCCAAAGTGACCCTCCATCTCTGACTGCACCATCAACTAGCATATTCATTGACCATTTGTGATGTATCTTAATAATCTGACCATTTTCAAATTTCATTTAATTTCCAATAGTAGAATTGGACAATTGAACTATTCATTCATTTACTGTAGTCTCCCAAATAATATGAGTTTATAGAGGGTAGTAAATATAAATGTACAAAAAAGCTAAAGATTGTTTAAAATAATTTCAGCCTACTGACCAGAACCAGTAGGCTACATCACTGAACCTGTCAATCAATCAATACTTTACTTCAGACTTTGTTTTACTTTTTTGTGCTTAATTTATGAAATAGCATCTCTATTTCATCTGCAAATCTATCTATTAAATAAATTATTTTTTTTTATTGCCTGATTTGTGTTCGAAAGCTGACAGGATTTGCTCATGAAGTCTCGCGCTCACCTGGTATTGTCACGCGTGATTCGCCTCGAGACATCCTAAATTCGCGGCACCTTTCCCGCTCTAACACCATCCAACCCGCTCCGCGTGAATCAAATCCCACTGTTGGTCGACGTGGGCTTCTGTTGTCGAGAATTATCTCGAACAGGTAACAAAAAAACAAAACAAAACAAAGCAACGCAGTTTCAAGTGAAGAGAAAGTTAAAAAGACAGCTTCTGTAGTTGAACAAAAGTGGTGTGACACTCCCATTACTGTGAGAACTTAATGTTTCCAAAAAGAGGATGACACGCCTTCCTCTATTCTACACTGAGTGACTTTTCAGTCACCAACTACAATACTGACGCTTTTCTATAGCTATGATGATATTATATAGCTTTTACGTTATTATTATCTGACATGACATTGTTGCTTAAGTAAATTATCTAATTATTAAGGTTTTAGATTAACAAATTCTAAGTCGCTTTCTCTATGGCTCTGAATGAAATTACTTGTAGGCTATGAGATAAATAATGTGAGGTGATTTGTCTGTTTTTAAAAAGCACTCTTATCTATTGTCTTTTACCATGGTTACTCCAGAAAAAGTGATCTGGTGGCAACTGGTTCTTCTTTGAGGCACAGCGGGGACCAGGATGTGGATTCAGACATTTCCTGGACCCTCGGCAGCCAGTCAGTGGAGGTAAAACATGACCATCTGTGCATTGTGTCGGCCCATCAGGGTTCTTCTCACTCTTTCTCAAGGGTCAGACACCCTTGCTGGTTTCAGGATTCCTTGTTGCGAGCGATGCAACGTCACACAGACAACTCAAATATTCCATGACTTAGCTTTTGTCTTTGCATTGTGTGCCTTTCACCTGACTATGTGAAAGCGTCAGATGTAAATTTAAGGATTATAAAATAGATGTAGCCTAGTAACATTGAATGGGTTGATGCAAGTTAAAAGATACTCAATATTGTTCATATAATGCATTGCTGCACTGTTTGGTTAATAAATATTTAATTTTAAGAAACATTAATTTATTTATAAAACAGAAGAAAGAAAAAAACATATGATCGGTAGATCAGTGATCCATTGCTTTGTGAGTAAAGGAGGATAAAGATAAAAAGAAGATATGTGTTTAAAATGCTGTCTTATTTAACTTCTATAACCTTTTTGGGTAATGCACTTTAATTTGCAATATGCAGTGTTTGCTTGTTTATATAAGTTTCACTTTCTTTTGCTGTAAGTTTAAGTTCCGGTTTGTGATCGGAGGATCTGTTAACGATTGCTAATGCCTCGTTCAGCCTGCGTAGGGAACGTGCGGCTTACCGCTTACGTTCGTCCATTACAACATTGGACTTGACAATCATTGATATTAATATTTTTAAGTAGGATAAATTTTACTTTAAAGCGGTAGTAGTTTACCCCAAAAAATATAAAGCACTTGCTCAATGCTGCATAATTTTATTTTTGATATCAAAAAGGAGATGTTATGCAGAATGTACAATGAAAGTGAATATGGACCAGAGGCTGTATAGCTCCAAATATGGAAAAATCTCAGTAGGCTGTATGACATTTATATCTTTAAAGCCCCGAGAAACCATAACATTTTTTTGTTTGTTTTTTTGAAGAAAATAACAACATTTGTTGTTATAAATTAGGTTAATGACACAATAGGTATGTTTAATTTTCATCGATCTGAATCCAATACTATTTTAGATTCTAAAAGTTCTGTTTATGAACCCTAAACTTTGCAATTAGATTCACAAATCAATTTGCTCCATTGTATCGATTGAGGGGCTACGTGAAGGCTTTTCAGTCTCACTCTGATTACTAACAGATTATTTGGTTGCAATGTAGCTAATGAGACCAAGGAATATTGTCTATTCCTTATTATTATCAATCGCTATCATAGCGATTAATCTAAAGTTGTCAGGGATTTGGCTGTCTGGATTGGAACAGTGAATGAAAACATCTTTGAGACTTTGTGGCTCTCTGTGATGGTACCACGCGGTGCTCACAGACTGGTGGCTCTTTGAGAGCACAAACAGGCAAGAGTTATAAGAGAGAGTGGAGGTAGAAGGGTGCAGAGCCCGTTGCTGTCCTGTAGGCAAACACTAATGTCTTGAAATTGATGTGAGAGACAACTGGGAGCCAGTGCAGAAAGATAAACAACGGTGTGACATTGGCTCTCTTGGGTTCCTTGAAGACCCACTGCATTGCGGATCATGATTTAATTGCACATGTTGGAAGTCCAGCCAGAAGAGCATTGCTGTAGTCTAGCCTAAATTACAAGGGCCTGGATGAAAAGTTGTGTTGAACGCTCAGTTAGGAAGGAAGGGCCTGATCTTCCTGATGTTGTACGCCATCATACTTAATTAACAACGAGTAAATGATTCCACAACTTTCATTTTGGATGAACTACTCTTTAGATAAATATGACATTTTCATGTGAATAAAATGTGATGTGGGTTGGTTGAAAAATGGACCTTACAGATAAACATACAGATACACACAGGTAACACATATAGGGAACACAGATAAATGAGGAGCACAGGTTTAACATCTATTTCTCTCTCCTCCTTGACTCCCCACTGTGTTGTAGCTCACACACACACACACACACACAGACAAACAAAGAAACATGTGAAAATAGCCCTCACACTTACAGCGGATCAGCTTTTCAATTTCACAGGGTGTGGATCCCTGGGGCCCCTTTATCTCTTTTTACCTCTTTCTTTTGTCAAGCTGTGGAATAAGCTTAGTATATTGTTAGTTGTGTAATACGTTTACACTATTAAGTTTATTTTTACTGATTGATTCTGTTTTATATACTTAATTTCTTTCTGTTTTCTTTTATAACTTGTTTGCAGTTTGGTTTTTGTTGTTCTAGTTAGCTTTCATTTATTTTTATTTCAGTTTTAATTTGAGTATTTTTACAGTTTTTCATGAATTGTTTTATTTTGAATATAGCATAGTAACAGTTAATAAAACAATAGCTTTAGCTAACAATAACAAAATTGCCTAGATACTATGAATCCTATAGGTTTAGGCCCTAAATATAATGGATAAAAAACAAGTATTTAGGAGGAATTGAGATGTATCATCACCATAAGTGTGCGTAATGAATAATTCCTTCCTTTTTATGACTTCCTCCTGATGGAGTTGAGCTTTTCAGCAGACCACGTTTCCATGGTTACAGTACAGATCACGCCTGAGAAAATGCAGAAACACAAAGAGTGTTTTTTTAGTGATGCGTTTTCTCATACCTACCTGTCCGTTCACCCTTTTTTTCTCGAGTTAATTTTGCATGTAACCACTTTTTTAAATATGCCATGCTATGAGAATATACTGTGGATGTTTCTCTTATCTGATGCATTTTGTAAGCTGTGGTTGCATTACATGAATGGTATTGTGATGGAGAAAAACTGACCTGCACAAAACAGTATTAGGTTACTTTGGTGAGGAGGCACGCCCTTCCAGAATGGTGTCCTCTTCTGTAATCTCTCCTCATGATCAGTGTCTGTGGGACTGATTAGATCCCACCCACTGCCAACTAGAATTTAAGTTAGGGAATGCCACAGGATCTGCGTGACTGCCAGTGGGGTAGACAGAAGGAATTGTGTCATGTGAAATGCAACACTCTTTGTGTAGTATTTGTCTCAAAGAAGGGAAACTCTTTTATCCCTCGTGCCTATTTTGCACATACTCTCACACAGTCTTACTGCTGCTCATATGGGTCTTGTTGCTGTGGTAATGAACCTTTACTTTTGCAGCATGGTAATGACAGAGCAACAATTTTCACAGCTCTCAATGCTAAATGCTAGTCCTTTGAGAATCTGAGCACTTTCAATTTGTAGAGGTTGTCGGCAATGTCACACTGTGTGAGTCGTTTCCAATTATGTCTGTGGATTCCTTTGGTTTACTGTAACACTATTAACCCTCATATAAAAGTTTCACATGGCATTGTGTTACATGCACCTGTTTTTCCAACCATTTAACAATATATACAAGTGGACACTAGGTGGCAGCATGCTGCAAAACTGAAAATTCGATTTACTCTTTAATAAGGAATAAGACAAACAAATGATGTCATCGTTCACTTTTCTTTTCAACCTCTTTTTATTTTTATTCTTCTGAAATTCATAGAAACATAAAAAAACAACAATCATCTCCAGAGGCATATCAGTCAGGTAGAATGCACATACTCTAGGCTAAATTTTTGTATGTATTTGTGTGTGCAAGCCAGTGTGGGTGTACAGTAAATTATTTCCCCCCTCATTCTTCCCACTGGCTTTGACATCTTCAAAGGGCCTTGTGCCAATACTGCTTCAGAGCAATCATCTGGGCTGAGTAAAATAATGGAGGTGTTGTACAAACAAAGTGAAAAGATGTAAGCCTGAGTGGATTTGTAAAGCAGAGGTATGTGAAGGACTGTGCAATGAATGTTCAGGAGGCAAATAAGAGATTGTAATGATCATGAACTTTTAAGTTTCATTTATAAAATGAAGATCATTTTAAGTCCATGGTATTTCTCTTAAAGGGTACATGCTTTCAAGTACATTCAAGTACACATAACTGGACCATACTTGCATTAAACCGCACTGCTGATCCTACAAAATGAAGATAGATAGATAGATAGATAGATAGATAGATAGATAGATAGATAGATAGATAGATAGATAGATAGATAGATAGATAGATTGGAAAATGATTACACTGCACACATTTTTTTTCTTCAAAATTTTGCTCTTGGGTCTTAATTTACCAAAATTGCACTACATAGCTAATTAAGATAAAAATAATATATGTCAAAGAAATAAACTGAATACAATACAATGCATGGTTTATTCTCTGAAACCAAGCCTCATTATTTGATGCATTTTTGATAAACAAAATTACTGATATATATATATATATATATATATATATTCGGTATAAGGCCTGTCAACAAGAGTGCTGAACAATCAGTATTTGATTTTATTTCAGTGCTTTTCAGAGACCAGTAAGTTTTATTTACAGCGCTGTTCTGAGATCAGTGAGAGCTGAGTGCTCCTTTGAGATCAACAGCATGCTGAGATCAGTGAAAGCTGCAGTTGGGTTGCTGGTCTGAGATCACTCAGAGATCTTAGAACACTTTAATTAAATTGTTGAGAGAATCATTCAGAGCACTAGACTTGGATTAGTCTGCGAGAGTATTGAATACTGGCTACTGCACTGAGATCAGTTAAA